CTTAGGGTCCAGGTACTTACTAAGTCCCATGATCCTTCAAGTACGGGAACCTTGGCAGGTCTTCGAAATGACGATTTAAAAGTCTATAGGGTTTAGGGTTTAGGGTTTAGGGTTTAGGGTTTAGGGTTTAGGGTGTCTATATACACCATCGCTTTGGGTTTGGGGTGTACGGTTTAAGTCTAGTAAAAAGCTGGGTCTGGGGGTTAGGTCTAGTGAAACGTTATACTAACGATATAGGGGCCTTGAATATGAGACGAGAGCACAGGGTCCTTGATAAATAACGCCAACATTTTAAAAGACCTTGTCTGGGGTTCGCGGTGCCACGTGCCGCTGAGGCACTTCGATGGAGAGAGGGTCAGAGGCCTCAGCAAGGTAAAGCCAAGGCTTCAAGAAGCAATCCTTCTCGCTCGGGGCTTGGGGCTCGAGATTGGGGCGCCTAGGGTTTAGGGTTAAGGGCCTAAGAGGGTGTTATATTCTGTCACAGCATGCTATGTTATGTTGTAAGGTTTGAAACTGTGCCGTACTATGATGTCTTATGCTGTACTGATTTCATGATACGGGTCCGTATCATGTGGTGCGAAGCGATATGAGATGGTATGGTCTAACAAACTGAAGCTGAAAGCATCCAGTCATCTTTAGCCTTCGGGCTGTATCAGGAGAAGGGTTTACTTGGAGGTGCAACTGTAGTTATAAGTGGGGTCCTAAGTCCCCCAAGATGGATTATAAGGAGAGTTACCCTACTTATAACCCTACCTATAAGTGCCCATGAACCTCCAAGTAGGGTTCAAGAGTTTCCCTTCGACTCCCTAAAGATTCAAACTCTCAGGATTTGCGGGCGAGTCCCCATGAGATAGGAAGCGGTTTGGGGTTTTTTTGCGCCGTTCGGAGTAAGTGCTGGGCCCTACGAGTTCATCTGCAAGGCTTGTGGAAAAGCTCTTAGAGGAGCCCTTGTAGAACCCTTACAAGAACCCTGAGGCGCCACAAACTCGGGATTCGGCAAACACCCCTGTGCTAGTATAGGGCTTAGTGGCTGAGCGGCCCCCTCAGCCAGATCCTTGAAGAAGAAACTGACAACAACCCTGTGCTGGTTTAGGGCTTCGTGGCTGAGGGTTTCAAAGTTTAGGGTTTAGGGACCCTTAGATAGGCCGGAATTAGTGGTGCCCCTTTTATGCCTTCTCAAAAAACGCCGTTAAAGCCGAGAAAACCCTCTAAAACACGCACTCTACACGCACCACAAAAAAAACAAACAAAAACAGTCAAAAGCCAACTGAAACCCATCTGAGACCCTAAACCCTAAACCCTAAACCCTAAACCCTAAACCCATCTGAGACCCTAAACCCTAAACCCTAAACCCATCTGAGACCCTATAAAGCTGAGCGGCTGAAGCATCGCCGATGCCAGGAGCGCGGACTGGCGCTGCCGGAGAGAGCAAGCCAGGGCCTTCTCCGTCTTCTTAGGGTTTAGGGGGTTCCTTTAAAGGGATCCATAGGGGTTCCTTTAAAGGGATCCATAGGGGTTCCTCTAAAGGGATCCATAAGGGCTAGGGGTTGAGGGTTTATAGAGGTTTAGGGGTTTAGGGGTTTAGAAATGTTTAGGGGTTTAGGGGTTTAGGGGTTTAGGGTTTAGGGTTAAAGCTACCATAATAAGGTGCCATCTTACTTACTATAAACCGCTACTATGGCAACTTAAGTTAAATTCTTTAACAAGAACCCAGTTCTCTGTTTTAGTGTGGGTTTCAGGGTTTGACGGGCTTAGCGTTTAAGGAGTTTCACGGGTTTGCGGGTTTCGGGTTTTAGGGTGTAGGGGCTTAGGGTTTTAGGGTTTAAAGTTCAGGGATTTAGGGCCTAGTTCAGTTTAGGGTTGAGGGTTCAGGTTTCGGGTTGAAGGTTTGGGGTGGATTTTCGGGCTGCAGATATTTCTATCAGTGTTTAGCATGCCTAAAGAGCCAGTGAGCCCTGCCTTGAGGGAGCTTCCTGGAAATTATGAGTTCAAAACAATTCCGCAGGGTTTAGTGAGTTGAGTTTAGGGCTTCGGGCTTAGGGAATTAATGACGGATGCCCAACACTCCCGCTAAGCCGCAAGCCCCTAAACCGCCCAATCCCCAAACATAAAACGGCAGCGGAACTGGGCTACTCGAGAAAAGATCCTCCTAAGCCTAAGAAGGGAAGATGTGAACAATCCCAAAGGATAAGAATCAGACTGGCTGTTCGGTTGCTTTCGACACCAGACCTTTGTTTGGGGAACCCTAAGCCATCGGAGTACTAACCCCATGAAATGATTGGGACTTTGTTAAGCAGAGCCCAGATGAAGCCTTCCCTAAGACTCACAAATACGGACCCAAAAGGGCACATAAGCATAAGCATTTTATAGGGATATCCCTACCTTAATGGGCTTCATTATAAAGGGCTTTATATGGGACATCCCTATCCTGATATTTGCTTATGTGCTTTTTGGGGGTCCTAACAAAGCCTATATCCGACTATATCCGAGATCCCCAACCCCCCCTAAACTGGGGAGTGGGATCGAAGGACTGTGGGCGGACGTGCCCTCCTCGATCTCCCGTGTTAAGGGTATCTTTGAGGTTCCCCGAGGTTCTTGTAAGGGTTCCATGGAATTTAAGTTTAGGGTTGTTTTAAGGTTTTTGGAAGAGACAGGATACTCATGGTACTCGCAACTAAGAATAACTGTGCTCAAGGACCCATTAGAACCGAGGCAACGATAGGGGACGTATGGCCCAGTGAATGATAGGTCGCAGGTATGGTGGAAGTATGCGGAAGTGTCCTAGATTCATGGCGTATACGGCCTAAACCCTGAACCCTAAACCAAAAGCTGAAGGCAGCAGAAAGCTACATAGATCTGAATGAAGCCTGTTCTTCGCATATACATATATATATATATACATATGTCCAGGACAAACACGCCAAACCCAAAATCCTCAACAGATTGAACCCATTAGAGCGTTCGGGGCTTAGCGTCTGAAACACTCGAGCCCTACACCCCTGAAACCACTTTTCGAGGGCGCATGTAGAGCAGGTCAAGGTCAAATGTCCAGTTGGGTGCAAGTTTTGCACCGTTCTTCCCTGGGTGAGACTGGTCTCCTGTCCTGTTCCTGGAGGCTTCTTGTAGATAAACTGTCGGTATCCCTAAACCCTAGGCCCTAAACCCTAAACCGGTATATTCCTGATTTAGATTGTTTACACTCATTTTCAGGAACAGCCAGGTCGCAGCAGGGGGCTAAGTCGGGCTGATTTGCTTGGGCTTGGACTCCCAGGATATCCTTTATCCTGGCCCTCCCAGGCGGTTTAACCCTGCCCGACGAAGCTGCCCTGGTCTTGGATGAATGCATGCGATTTCCATTCACGGGTGAGACGCAGCCTCCAAAGGAATCGGAACATACAAGACGCGGTGCTGGGTTTAGGGCCTAGGGTTTATGAACATGCTGGGGGGCACCCCGGAAGTTCTCGACCTATGCGCTCAAAGTGCCTCTAAACTGTCGGAACTCTTGCACTTCTCTGCACTCCTTCGAGTAGATGGATGTGGCTTACAACGGAACATTCTCTTGTTCCAGTGAAACCCACCTGAACTCGACCTGGCGGCACAGGAGGCAATCAGAACTGCGCGTGAAGCCTAACATGCAGTCATGCAAGCCTCTAATATAGGGGCCTGAATAATTAGAATACGGCTTTAGGGGCCCACTATACTGTGCTTATAATATGGAGCCCCAAACTAGCATTGGTAATTATCTAGGCCCCTATATTGCACCCTGAACCCTAAATGCCTCAACCCTAAACCGCCCCTTTCCGTAAACCCTATGGCAATGGCGCCTGTGACACGAGGATGCTTTGGAAAGTACAGTTCCGTTTGAGATATGCACTATACTTATGCTACATACGAAAGGAAACCTTCTGAGATGGGAGTAGATGCGCCTCGGGCCTGTGTACTTAAGTCAATATCAATAAACCCACAGCACATTAGCAATTGACAGCCGGAAAGGCAATAACTAACTGCAAAATCATGTCCCGAACTGTGGTGCCGGCTGCAGGGATGTGGGGTTTTAGGCTTACTTGGAGGGTCGGGGGACTTAGCAAGCAGGTAGTAAGTAGACTTTTATAAGTACCCTAAGAAGGACCCTCCAAGTAGGGTTGTGAATTCAGAGCTTAGTGTTGCATTTATGGTTTATGAATCATGGGCTTGCAAGAACCCTGATTTAGACTTAGCGGCTGAGTTCATCAGCCCCCAAAAAGTGTACACTTCCAGTTTTATAGTGGGTAATATTATCCCCAAAAGTGTAAAGTGTATCCACTCAGCTACTGAGTAGAATCACGCCCCAACCATCGCGAGGGTCACTTGCGACAGCGGTTTAGTCTTGCTTTCTTTTCAGGCTTGTAAACCCCTGAACCCCTAAACCAATGAACCCTACACCCCTAAGTTCAGGACTACGGTTGCTTTTAAAGCTGGGGTATGCTTTTTTTCGCAGCACCAGGCAGAAACCTTAGTTCAGGGATTGGGGCTGAGACATTCCACATCTGAACAGTCTGAAACTGATGCATGTAATATACGGCCGTTTTGGGGCCCATCATACTACAATTATGATCAGGAACCTCCACAATAGCATTGGTAACGATTTAGGCCCCTATATTCAAGGTCGCCAACTTACTTGTCCAGTATCCTACGGGAACTACAGGTTAAGCTTTGGGATTATGTAGCGACCATAGTACCCCGAAATGATTATACCCACCCTTAGAATCATAATAAAACAAAATTTGTCTCATATTCTCTTTGGTTTTAAATGAACAAAACCCGAAGTAGTTACTTAGAAGACTATCGAGGGTTAAAGGTTACCTACTCTACTGCTCGTGTGCCGAGAGCTCGAGGCTTAGGGTTTCGGAACTGAGGCTTATGGGTTGGATTTAAGGTTTAGGGATTTAGGGCTTAGGGCTTTTTGCGGCTTAAGGGTTTCGGGTTTAGGGAATAGGAGTTATTTGCCCTTCTCTGCCTCCTCACTCGCCCTCTTCCTCATCCACCTCGCCCTGCCATGGAGCGGCTGTGTTGTTCGTGCAGCGGGTGTCCAGTCTCACTGGGCTGGATGGTTAGGGATGGACCTTCTTGGTAACAGTCTTCTCAGAAGTAGTGCTGTGCTGCAAGTGTTTATCTTGACTGTACATAATAAGACCACTATCAGGACGCTGCGGCAATGCAAAGCTGCATCCCTGAACTGGGACGGGACGACATGACGCGAGCAGAACAGGATGAGGATGGAGTGATGGAAGGAGGGAGGGAGAGCGAGAGAGGGAAAGGCAGGGAGAGAGGGGGAGAGCTAGGGAGAGCGAGGGAGAGAGAGAGAGAGAGAGAGCAACCCCTACAGTCTAAATCCTGAACCCCAGACCCTAAACACCAAACCAAAACCCAAGCCCTAGACCCTAAACGCTTACCACTGGGCCTTGTCACTCTCGGCCTCGTCCTGTCCGGCTTTGGCGCATTAAGGAAGAGTCATACATGGCGGCTCCTTGCTATAATTGTAGTATAATGGGCCCCAAAACCCTATTCTAATTATTAAGGCCTCTACATTGACAATACGACTCTTCGATCAGGATTTAGCATTTAGGGTCCACTTGGAGGGTCGGGGAACTTAGTAAGGAGGTAGTAAGTCGGCTTACAAGTACCCTAAAAGGGACCCTAATTGGGGTTATGGTACTTATAAGTCCCAAAAATAACCAGTTACTAAGTCCCCCGACCCTCCAAGCAGGCTTTAAGGCTTAGGGAGGGCTTGGGGGGCTTAGAGTTGGCGGTTAAGGTTTAGTGAGTGAACGAGGGTGCTTGGGGTTTGCGGCTTAAGGTTTAATGGGTGCAAGAGTTTAGGGTTTAAGGTTCAAGGTTTAGGGTTTAAGGTTTAGGGCTCAAGGCTTTGGGTTTAGGGTGGTTTAACCCACTGAGGGTAACAGGATGAATCCGGCAAAAAAGTCAGCAAGCATGTCTGCACATGCACCGCTCTGCAAACATAAACACACACGCACACCTGTGTGTGTGTGCATGTCTGTAGATAAATGAATATAGATAACAAGATAGACAGACAAACAGATAGATACATAGGTAGACACACAGATGATGTGTTTGTCTACCTTGTATATCTAGATTTACAGTTGTATTCATCACACATGGACATACATACATATGTACATACATACCTGCTCAGCTTTCATTCGTTCACTCATTCATTCATTCATTCATTCATTCACTAATTCGTCACTAGGTTCATGCATGCAGGCATAAATGCGATACCAAAATGGTTGCACGCGTTCCTGGATGGGGTTGGGCTCATCGTGCTCTTCGAAGTCGGCAGGCTCATCCATGATGTCGTCGGGCCTTTGTCCATGAATGCAGGGTTTAAGGCCTAGGAGTAGATATTGGGAGTTTAGCGCTTCGGGAACGCCTGAGCCCCTAAACCCTCAACCGGAACGCCTGAACCCTAAACCCTAAACCCTAAACCCTAAACCCTTCTCTGGGATTCAAGGTTTTGGGGACCTTTCAGTTTCGGATTCGGGGGAGCCTTTGGCTGAGATGAGGTTGGGACTTAGCACCCCTGCTTCGGTCGGGACAAGACTGCTTTGGAGCCACTTCTCAAGCACCCTGAGCACCACACCAAAAAATCGGTTTCAAGAATCCCCCGTAGATTATGAGAAAAAATCAACATAATTCCTCAGAGCACTGAAAAATTTGGGGCGTGTGTGGTTTATGGTTCCTCTCTGCGTAGCAGCAGTTGGTCGGTCTAGCTTTGGATTCAGTCGGAGGTTTAGCATTTAGGGTACGTATTGGCGTTGGATCCCTATAGTGGTCCCTATATAATCCCCAATAGTAGTCCCCATTCCCAATGACCCATTCCCCATTCCCGATTCCCTACTAGCAACCAGACATAAAAGCTGGGCGCCCTGCGCCAATGGCATCAATGGGTTCGTGCCACGAAGGGGAAGCCCTGTTTCCTGCATTCGAGGTCTAGAGGTTCTTTAAGGGTCCCTTTAAAGGGGTCCATAAGGGGTACTATAAGGGTACTATATAAGGGGTACTATGACGGATACGATACGAGTACTTTGAGGGTACTATAAGGGTTACTATAAGGGAAACTATAAGGGATACTATAAGAGTACTATAACGGTACTATAGCGGCTCCTGAAGTTTATGCGGTGCGTTCTTTGCGTGGTTCGGGAACTTGCTTGCCCTGGAGTCCATAGTCTAGGTTTTGGATTAGACTGGGGCATTGAGCTTTGATCCAAAGACTAGGCCTTTGAAATTTTGCCAGATCTGTGCTCACGGTCCCTCCAAGCAATTCGGTATGACGATTCGCGTCTCCTGCTAGCGTGAGAATGGACGCCACCGTCACACCGTCACCCAAAACCCTGACCTAATCCAAGAACCCCAACCTCCTGATGCCCCGCCAGGTATTGCACGGTGTCGTCGCCACGCAACTCATAGTCAACAATACCGTACTTTGGCAATGCTTGCAGCAGGACCACGACAGTCAGCTGTCATCATCATCATCATCATCGTCTGTTGCATTATGTACTACAAATGCTTTCTGTACCGTGATGTCATTTAGGATCCTAATCGACCTTTTCAAGGTCCACTACTGACGAAGGCCGGCATGCCGCAAATTTCAGATTCGATACAACCGCAACATGGAGACTGCTCTAGCATCAGCTGTATCAGGTCTGACTCCGGTTGAGCAAGAAGACGAAGGTTGCTACAGAGATGGCTGTTGTCGTCTAGTGTTGCAAATGCCTGCAAGGATACCACTTGCCATGTCATGTATGACGTTTACAAACGTCTCTCACTCGAAGTCTCTGCCTGCCCCTTCCCCCAATGTCCTGTGTTTGCAGCCGTTACATGTTGCATATTCCATGGAAGACTGAGCCAACAACGAAACTGCTCCATTCGAAGAATCCTCAAACCCTAACGCCTAAATCCGAAACTGTGAACCCCAAACCAAAAACTAAATTCTGCAGCGCAAACACCCTAACCCCAAATTGAAAATCCCTGACCTCACTATACTAGTAAACTCTAAATCCTTACCCTAAACTGAAAATCCCAAACCTGCAACCCATAAACTCTAAGCCGCCACCTTGTCCGGCCCAACCATGGTACCACACTTCATTGCCGAACCCACCTCGGCGTTGCAAGAAGGAACAAGGATTCGAAGAGGCTCCACGCCCCCTAACTTTCGAACATAGCGATTTAGGGTTTAAGGCTTAGAGTATAGGGTTGAGCGTTTAGGGCCATGTACCATCCATCATACTCAAGATCCGACTAGCGCTTGAGATACCATTGCTTAATTCACGTCTGGAACCGCAGATGGCCCCCTAATTCCTATACCCTGAACCCTGGACCTGTTGATGTGAGACCACCTTTTCGGGCTGAGGTGGGAAAGCATCGGGGGGATGTGGCTGGAGCTGGGGATTTACTGATCTACACGACTCGGAGGGTCTCATTGGTGTGTTGGGTGGGTGGGCTTCCTCAAATCTCAAACGCTCCCCCAAAACCATATATAGAGGCCTTAATAATCAGAACATGGCTTTGGGGTATATTCAGTTACAGCTATAATAAGTAAGACCCAAAAACCAAACCCTAAACAACCCAAGCATAAACCCCAAACCTGATTAAAGTTCAGTCCGGTCTTCTTCAATCCGGAACAGTGGCAAACACAAAACACTAGGACCACACCCACAGATTCAAAAAAACACGTAGTCAAGCCCTGTACCGAAAATGATTGGGTCTTGTAGGGTTATCATTTATGCAAGCGCTATGTATGGAGCTGAGGAGAATGCGTCAAATTATAGAGGGATAATATGTCCAGCAGCATATTCCCTAGTTGAGTACACTTCTTACAAGACCTTGGGATCCCGACAAACCCGTGAAAATTGAGGTTGAGTGTTCCGTTACTGTTACTGGTTCTCTGAAAAATTCCCTAAACCCTAAACCCCCGTAACCCCTGCTGGGTTTCTCTGAAGGCCTTACGAAGGTATGAAGGGACGTTCTACGTCCCTGCAAGGGGTTCTATATGTGATCCGCTCAAGGCACAAAAAGTTCCTGTTTCTCTAGCTGGGGTTTGGGGTTTAGGGCTTAGGGTTTAGGGTCTAGATTTTAGGGTTTAGGGCTTAGGGTCTAGATTTTAGGGTTTAGGGTTTAAGGTTTAGGGTCCAGATTTTCGGGTTTTAGGCTTTGGGGTCTATGGTGTCGGATGTAGGGTCTGTAATTCTAGATTGGGTGAAACATGTTGATCAGTCAGAGGGCTTGAAATAACCTGAGAGGCCTCAATAACTGGAAAAGAGATTTTTGGGAATTACTGTTATAGTATTGTAAAAACATATCGGAACCCCACGAAATAATCTTGCTCGTCATTCAGGCATCTAGATTATTGGGATGGCGAAAGACCAAGAAACAAGCTACAACTCAAAACCTCTTGAATGAACGAAGATACCTTAAAGCATCGCGAGATTCTACATGTGACTGAAGTTACATTCCGCAATGGGATTTCATGAAACCAACAACTGTGGAAAAGTTGGCGTATGCAAAGAGCTAACTAGAGGTACTCGTCCCGCTTGTCGGGGTCAGGTGTGATTGATACAGGCGCCTGAATCATTAGAATTGGGTTCTAGGGTATACAGTTCTATGCCATAGTTATGAGAAAAAAGCCCCCGAAATTGTATAGGTACTTTATATGTACTTATTGAGGCCCTCTATATATGGGAGTTTCCGCATATAGGGGACCATAATATAGTACCCTAAATGGTAGGATCCTTATTATAAGGATCCAAAAATGAGGTACCCCTAATTTTCGCAAAGTCTAAACCCTTATAAAGCCCTTTAAAGGAGCCCCTATAATACCCTTGCAGTAACCCTTAAAGGAACCGTAAGGTACCCCTAATTTTCGGAAACCCCAAACCCTAAACCCTGTATAGAACCCTTAGAGATCCCTTTAAGGAGCCCCTATAGATCCCTTCTAAGGTACCCCTAATTTTCGGAAACTCCCATGGACTACCTGTTCGGCTCTTATCCGATGAAGCTCCTTGAGACCCCGAAGAGCGAGGGATGGCTTTCCAGCGACTCCAACATCCCTTAATTAAGGAATAGACCCCTCAAGGGTTCCTTAAAGGGATCTATAACGGTTCCATAAAGGAATTAAGGAAGATTCCTTATATCATATGAGGGATCCTATTCCAATTTAAGGCATAGTCCTTAATTAAGGGGTATTGGGGTCTCTGGCTTCATCCAAGTGGCATAGAGGTTCGCATACTTGGATCCTTTGACCACGGTAATTGCACCTGCGCGGTCAGCAGATGCTCGAGTGCAGGGACCTTGATAATCAGACTAGTGCTTTGGGCTCCCAGAGACTCCAATATCCCTTAATTAAGGAATATACCTTAAATTATAGTAGGATCCTTAATAGGATTTAAGGTATGTTCCTTTATTAAGGGATATTGGAGTCCTTGGGCTCCCTTGTAGCATAATGGTGGTTATCAAACTTATGGTCCCTTTTTGGGGTCCCTATTCTAATGCGGCACCTATTATTTAGGGTACCCAAAAAAGGACCATCATTTTGACAACCACCCAGGAAGGAGCCCTAAGGAATAAAATTGGGAATCATGTAGGCTTCGGTTTTACTGATAGGTGCCATGGAAGGCAAGGCTTCTTGGCGACCGAGATCCGGAAACGCCCAAACCTTTCAGTGAACAGTGGCTGCGAAAGTCATGGATGTTGGAGCAACTAGGTAAGACCCAAACAACACATCAAGAGGCCATCCCCTAAACACTAAACCATAAGCCTAAACCCTAAAGCCCTGCACTGTGGACCTGAGCATCTTGCAAAGTAGGCCACTTCCGCAACCCGATAACCAAAACAAAGTGACAGCCAGTGTAGTAGCCTGGGCAGCATTCGTCGTCATCGTCGTCGTTGTCGTGGTTGCAGTTGTGGCCGCCGGCGAAGTCGTAGTAGTAGTAGTAGTAGTCGTCGTCGTCGTCGTAATGGTTGTAGCAGTAGCAGTAGTAGCAGCAGTAGTAGCAGTAGCAGCAGTGGTAGTAGTAATGGCAGTGGCCGTCGTCGGTTCCACTGGGGACACATGTGAGTTGACTTCGAACTGCATGCATTTCTGCGCCACGCAGTGTGTCCCCAATCCTGAACGCTGAACCCGAAACCCATCCCAACTGAAACATACAGCGGGGTGAAACCTACCCGAACCCGAACAAAGTTACAAACTTAGAGCTCTTCATTACGATGTCCTTTACTGACATCCATGAAACTGAACGATAACAGCTTGGACAGTTGGGGAAGACCTAGACTATCATGATCTTGAGGTCGTGGGGCGGCCATCTGACCCAGAAAGCCCCGAGCCCGATACCGCGCCTGGCCAAATCAGGGATCGCAGGGCAGTGACTCGCAGGGACTTCGTGCCGTCCCCTGCAGTGTACACCTCGATTTGATCAAGGTATGGGGGCCGCAGAATCAGTCTTGAGCAATCTGCTGGGAGAGGGAGGGGGCGGTTTTTTTTTTTTTGGGGGGGGGGTCGTTCTTATGTTCAGAATCCTACTATACTGCGGTGCCCCCCAGCCTCTGATTGTATGAACCCCAGACCGCAGAGCTCTCAACCAGACTGAATCCATCGAACCTTGACCCGACGGCCCCTGAGGATGAAAACCTGCGACCCAGAACCGAAAGAAACTCCGTGAGTTTTACGGCTGCAGAGATGTGTTGCAGTCTACGACTGCCTTCCTTTGATTGGTTGATTGTTTGCTTGCTTATTTGATTGATTGATTGATTGGTTGGTTGATTGATTGGTTGATTGATTGATTGATTGATTGGTTGATTGATTGATTGGTTGATTGATTGATTGATTGGTTGATTGATTGATTGATTGATTGATTGGTTGATTGATTGATTGATTGATTGGTTGATTGATTGATTGATTGATTGATGGATTGGTTGATTGAAATGACGGTTTCTCACTTGCCCGTGTACAAGACCCTGGGTTTCAGGCTTGGGGTTTAGGGGTTGAGGCTACCTCACGAGACAACTTTTGTTTCAACATCTTTGCCTGCGTTCAACCAGTTACTATCTAAACCCAATGGGACCCAAACCCGTCACCCTACAACTCAAGGTACTTCCCAAACCCGAATCGACCTCGCAATCCTACAGCCGTAGCCTGCGAACATGTAACCCTGTACTACCCTTCTTTCGACTACAGGCTTGAGCCCAGGAGTCTGTAACAACACAACCGACAACCCCCTTAACCCCAAACCCTAAACCCCTGAACGCTAAACCCCTAGATCCGTAACCCCTAGATAACCCCTCAACCCCTAAACCCAAAAACCCTGAACCCCTAACCCCTTCTAGATCCCTTTAAGGAGCCCCTTATAAGGATCCCTTTAAAGGAACCTCTTAAGGATCCCTAAAAAGGAACCCCTAAACTGCAAACCAGTGGGCTTCCAGGTTGATGGAGAAGGGCTGCGAATCTAGAGTTGATGGTTGGGAAAGGATAAAAAAGTGCATTTTTGTTCCTTATTGGGCTTAAGTACCCATAAAAATGTAAAATGATGCCCAACTATGACAAAGTTTAGTTGACTTTCAGGGTGTTGCGTTTGGGTTCAAGGGCATTGGGGTTCAGGGTTTGGGGCTTAGGGTGCAGGGTTTACGGTTTAGCGCTTGGGACTTAAGAACTTTTGGCTTGAAGGTCTAGGGCTCAAAGATACGGAGACTCTGCAAATCTTTGCTGATCAGAAGGTGTGTGGAGTTGCCTCAAACCGTAAACCCTAACTTTCGTACCACCTCCTTCAAAGCCTCCTTGGACCAGGCGCTGGAAAACAGACTTGCCCATGAGTGCAGCTGCCTCACTGTCTCGAGGCTCCGTCATGGCAGACTTATTTTTCATGAAGTCGCCGGGTGCAACAAAGCGCTACCCAGAAATCTGCAGGATGTAGAAAGACCATGGGCGCCTAGTGCTGGTACTTGCACCTGTCTGCCACAGGCTGCACGAGCAGAAGTACTGTCACCTCAGCGTACTGGAACACGCTCTCTATTTCCGCTGAAGGCCCAAGTCAGCGTTGAAGTCGCACACTCAGGCACGTCATGTGCACAGCCGGCGCGATTGGCACTGCTTTCTTGAGCGCGATGGTTTGCAGAACAGCATAACTGCGAGCTCGTGCATAACCCGTTGTAGTCCATGCCCTCGCATGCAACCCTCCGATCAAAAACTTGTGATCTAGGGTGTGGGGTTAAAGCTTTACCTGTAGCCGAAAAGACCTACCTTTGTAAAGAACTATATACAGAAATCATGATAAAGAACCCTAAAAGGTAGGTTTTTCGGCTACAGGTAGGGTTCAAGGTTCAGGGCTTATGTGTCGGGGAGGCAGCCTTCTTGCGCTCACTTAAGGGATCAGGGACTCAGTAACCATGTTTAGTGGGAATCTCAGCAGGATGGATGAGGCTTCTTTACTCCGCCTATATCCTATTGTTTACAGCGGTTGAGCATCCACGCCTGTGCATCCTTTCGCGTATCTTCCTTGTCCACTTCAAGACCACGAACAGGGGTGCAGGGTTCAGGGATCGGGATGGCTTAGGGTTTGGGGTTTAAGGTAAGAGTTCAGAGCTGATGGTTGTGGTTTGAGAGAATCTAAGGTAGCATGTAGGGTTTCACGCTTTCGGTATGCCTTGCCCCAAACCTTAAACCCAAAAACGCAAACCCCAAACCCCTCGAATCCTAAACCATAAACCCCAATCCTTAAACCCAAGTTGGAATTTGGCTAACAGGGCACAAAACACCAAAACTCCATAAGGACATCCCTGATCCCTCTTTCAGCCAGTGAAACAGGGATATCCCACTCTAAACTTTAAGTTCGGGCGCAATCCTAAACCATAAACCAAAAACCCTAAACCCTAAACCCCCAATCCTTTAACCCAGCTTGGGACTAACAAGCTCTAAACCCTACACCGCGAGACACCCTAAACCCTAAACGCTTAAATCCTAAACCTTGAACCCCCCCACACAAAAAATCTGGGGCACGGACTCCCTCGTCACCGTACCTCTTCACACCTCGTCTCATAGGCTTCTATAGGGCCTTATTACTATACCCCCTTAGAACCACAAAAAAAATAATATTTGTCATAATCTCTTGGGGTTTATATGAACAAGAATAAAAGACTTCCTAAGGAGACTTTAGATTAATTAGAATAGGGTTTTGGGCCCATTGTACTGTAACTATACTAAGGAACCCCCAAAATGGTATTGGTAATTATTAAAGCTCCTTGTCTTACCCCCGGGCCCTTAACTTAATGCGGGAGCTTCGGATTTGTTTAAGGGATTTAGGGCTCATTAAGATCTATCTATAGGGGTTCCGTTAAAAGTGGTACAGAAGGGCTCTATAAAGCATCTATAGGGCTTCGGGATGTGGTGTTTTCTGACTTAGGGATTTAGGGTTTAGGGGTTTTCGGATTTAGGGAAATGGGGGTTTGGGGTTTAGCGGCTTAAGGTTTTGGGTTCAAGGCCCTTAAAACCTGAACCCAACAGCCCAAGCTCGCAACCCTCAAACCGAAGCCACAAGCCCTCAGCTCTCTAAAATGTTGCCCTAAACCCTCGATGCCCCTCCCCCTTCCTGCCGTGCATGAACCCGAACAAAGAAATCCTTAAACAGACATGTAAAGGCTTCACAAAAGCCCTTGCGACACTTTCTCAAACCCTGGTGAAAGCCCCGCCCCCCCTCCGAAAAGAACTCATACCCCTACAATGCCATGAAAAACCTCTCCAAACCCTACAGAACCCTACAGAAATCCTTCAAACCTTCTAAACCCCATGATTACATCCTAAACCCGAAACCCTAATCCCTAATCCCTAAACCCGAAATCCCTTCTGTAGGGGCCTAAATAACTACCTATACCATTTTGGGGTTCCTTGAAGAAAGTTATAGTATAATATGTCCCAAAACCCTATTCGATTGTTAAGGTCCCTATATGGGAGTTTCCGAAAATAGGGCTACCTTATTTGGGGGTCCTTATAATAAGGATCCTACTATCTAGGGTACTATATTAGGGTATCCTATTTTCGGAAACCCCCCTACTCCCAGAAGGAGGGAGAAGGAACCAAACTTCTCCTTGCAACGCCCGCGGCTCCACGCCGGGGATCCCTCGGCTTCCTCGGGCTTCAACTCCTGGGGGAAACGCTTTTTAAAAGGTTTAATGCGTTTAAAAAAAACAAAAAAAAGGTTTAGGGCTTAGGGTTTGGGGTTCAGGGTTCCGGGTGTAGGGTTTAGGGTTTTTGTTTTCTTTTTTTTGGGGGGGGGTGGTGTGTGGTTTTGCGTGTACATAGGGTTTGGGGTTTCTGGTGGATTTCGCAGTGTTTTCGTGGGATTTCCATGGGCTTTGTTCCGGGTGTCTTCGGGTTTATGTGCTTCGGGTTTAGGGCTTCGGGTTTACAGTGGAGCGTGTAGGGTGTAAGGTTTCAGGTGTTGGGGCTTTGTCAGAGTAAGAGTTCTAATCTGTGCTGGTTTGTTTAAGAGTCGTTATCTGTCAATTTTGGTGGTGCTTCTGTGGGTGGTTGCTTTGAGGGTTCCCTTACGGACTCTGTGGAGCTGCCAGAAGGGCTCTCGGGTTTTCGGGTGTGAGAGAATAGAGATGAAGGCTGGCTCTTGGAAGGAATTTATGAATTAGGGTTTATGATTTAGGGTTCCTAGGGGTTTCCGAAGGTTCAGAAAGGTTGTGTAAGGCCTGCTTTTGCAACGGGTGTTTCTAAGGGTTTGTATGGTCCGTGGGACTTGCTACGGGTCTGTTACGGATGGTAGGGCTTGTAATAAGCTTCATAATTAAGGGTTCCATACAAGTGCGAACAAAAAAGGTATATCTTCCTGGAGGTTGTTTGTGTGTACACTTTGGCACCCCCCAAAACCCCTAAAGCCCAATAGGTAAGCCCTAAACCCTAATTTTTTGGAAACTCCCGAAGGAACTTTCAGGGTTGCCGCCATTGCTCTTATTTCAGGAGCTTTTCTATCGATTCCTTGATGGCTCTTTGAGATGTAAGACCTTGGTACGGGATCTACGCAGGATCTAGAAGGGTACATTAGGATTTGCAGCTTAGGAAACACTAAACCGTATACCCTAAACCCCAGGCCTGTTCTGAGTTTTTGGGCTTGCCAGCGTTTAACGACCTGCCCCTTTTATCGCTGCTGTGGCTGGTCATCCTTGGAACGTTTGTGGGGTTTAGGGTTCAGGGCTTAGGGCTGCTTGGCATTGGCAACGCACAACCCTAAAGCCCCTTTTTACCTCAGTGCAAAAGCCGCGCAATCCTAAAACCCCATCACCTTCGCGAATGACACCTTTCATTCATGTTTAGCAATAAAGCTCGAATCCGTTGACCCGAAGGCTCTCTGAGTCCCACTAAACCCAAGAGCTCCACCAGACCCTAAACCAACCTCGTTATCTGTACCCCCAAACCCTCCTAAACCCGATACCCTCAAACTCAGCCCTAGCATGAACGCTAATTGGAGCACAACCCCCTCAATACACCCTGGACTAAAAACCACAGAGCCAAAAAAGACACAATCCTAAATCCCTAGAAGTCCTGTAGCGCGTGCAGAAGTCACATAAAAACCATGGTAACACGCTACCAAGATCCAATTAACACCCGAGCTAAAACGACTGTGAATGGAAAAAAGCTATGCCCCTGCGCTCCTCCAAATCAGCCTCGATGCCCTCGAGAAGTGCCTTCCTCGGAGCTTGTTTTTTTAACCCCGGGTTGTTGCAAGGGGCTTGTATAAGGATTCCTTTCAAGTAGAAGCCACAAAGTGCTCTAAAGGTAAAGTTTAACGAATCCCAGCACTCTTCATCCCCTTTTCTGGGGTTCACTGTCGGGGTTGTTTTTTTTTTGAAACTCACAAGAGTTTTAGGCTTCGTTCGGCATTTATAGGAGGGACTTAGCTGGCTTTACTATGTCGGGGTCAGGGCGGGGCAGGTACCCTAAATAATAGGTGCCGTATTATAATAGGGACCCAAAAAGGGGCCGTAATTTTGACACCCACCCACATGAATAAAAGGTCACACCATATTTTGGGGTCAGGGATACTTGAGCACTTCGTCGTTTCATGGCTTAGCATGTTAGCGGCTTTAAAAGGAATGTGAAGGACATGTCGAAGCTTGAAGCTTCGGTCTTTGCACACTGGTGCGAATTCGTTTTTGCTGTCGCAAGCTTCAACATCCCAAGGCACACCAGAGCGAATATGCTGGGGGATACATGGCCGCTTCAACGAACCCGCTTTGGCTCTGGGCAATAGCCCATAAACCCAACAATATGAACCTGAAAGTATACAACAACGTAGTAACCCTTACAGCCTGAGTTTGCGGTTGATCCAAGGGTAAAAGGAGGGACCCTTAATAAGGACCCCTAGGTCTATACCCTTAATATAGCTATCATATACCCATTGTATAGCCGATTATAGGATAGGGGTCCCCGTTAAGGGTCCCTCCTTTTCCCCTTTGAGTTGAGCATCCAGAAATCTTGGGGTTGAGGCTTTGAGCTGCGGGAATGAATCTCGATGCTCAACCGATGCAGCCAACCCTACGACCCGAAACCGTGAGACCCGGTGCTCCCCAAGACCCTATACCCAGAGACCGTAAACCTCGAAGACCCTAAACCTTAAGATCCTATTGCAGGGGCCTTACCAATTTGCTTACGGTTTGTGCGTACATTATACTGTACTATGATTATAAGTCCTCAAAATAGTATCTGCAACCGCAACTATTGAAGCCCATACCTCCAACATCTACTTTTTTGTGCGTTCTTTTTATAAACCCAAATATGGAAGTTGTAGGGACCCTACAAAAAACGCAGGTTCTGGCGGGTGACGGTATATTCAACCCAAAGGTACTATGATTATGAACTAGAAGCCCTCAAAAGAGGGTCTCCAGTTATTATTTAAGCCTGCATACTCAACCCACCAGAACCTAGCATTTTGCCGAGCCCCTATAAATCCCCTATTCGATTTTAACAAGGCGAACCTACCAAAAAACGCAGGCTCTGGTCGGTTAAGTTTTTCCTCAACCTACCAAACCCTAGATTTTGGTAGGTTCTCATTCTAAACCCTACTATGAGATTCATAGGGACCCCACAAAAATGTAGGTTTTGGTAGGTTAAGGTATATTCAACCCAAAATCACCTAAACCCTAAACCCTAAAAACCCTGAACCCTAAGTCCCTAAATCCCAAAACCCCTAAATCCCCAAGCCCTTATGGATCCCTTTAAAGGAACTTCTTAAAATCCCTTTAAAGGACCCCCCCCAAACCCACCTAAACCCAAAAAATATGGATCCCTTCAAAGAACAGGTCCGCCAAGCGTCTCGGGCTCGGCCTCCGCCTGCGCCTGGATCTCCGTCACCTGCTTAGAGGGACTCTTAAAAGGGATGGATCCTTAAGACCTTAAGGGGTCCCTTAAAGGGATCCTTAAAGGGATGGATCCTTAAGGGAACCCCAAGGGGTCCCTTAAAGGGATACTTAAAGGGATCTAGAGGAACCTTAAGGGGCTCCTTAAAGGGATCCTTAAAGGGATCCTTCAAGGGCTTTTGGGTGTAGCGATGAGGCTTCGGGGTTTAAGGCTTCGGGTTCAGGGGTTTAGGGGTTTAGGGGTGTAGGGGTTTAGGGGGTTTGGGGGTGTAGGGGTTTGGGGGTTTGGGGGTTTAGGGGATAGGGTTTGGGGATTGGGGGTTTAGGAATGGGGGTTTCGGGTTGGTTTAGGGGTCAGGGTTTGGGGGCTGAGGGTTTAGGGTTCAGGGATCGGGGTTTCGGGGTTCAGGGGTTCGGGGGTTCAGGGTTCAGGGTTTAGGGTTCAGAGGTTTAGAATTCAGGGTTTCGGGGTGCCCAAGGGCCGCGAACCAAAAAACGCCGTGAAAGCGGAGTTGAGTCATGAGTTTACTGTAGCGCAATTTAGCTATACAAAAAAGCGCTGCATGTGTGTACATATATAGACAAAAACAAACACATACCTCGTACATATACATAAACATGTACATTCGTATATATGTATACTGAGATAGTTGTATCTGGATGTAGGGCCATACTTATGTTTGGACATCTACTTCTACTCAGAGCTCGTAGTTGTATCCTTGTTCTGTTTGTTACTCATTCATCATACACTGTGCACATAGGTGTACGAAGTAAGAACTCCTACTCACTACAAGCGTTGCTCGTTTAAGTGAACCATGTGAAACTCTCCATAAACGAGTCGATTGAACTCCAAAACCTTGATCCCTAAACATTACAGCTCGAACCCTAAACCCTCAACCCTAAACTCTAAACGCGAAACTCTAAAACCCTAAAACCTACATTCCCAGAAGTGCGCACCCCTAAACCCTAAGCCCTAAACCCTCAACCCTCGCTTCTGGCCCCCCAAGGCCAGCACCTGGTCTTCCGTCAGCTTTCCCTCCAAAGCTTCCGTGTCCGGCCATGAGCTCTTCCTGGCATCGTGCTGGGAGTCGCAAGAGCCCCGCAGGCCCAAAAGGGATTCAAAGCAAGTTAGTGCTTCGGGTTCGAAGTTTATGGGTTTGGGGTTTTGGGGTTTTAGGTTCAGAGTTTATGGGCTTTGGGGTTTTGGGTTTAGGGATAAGGGAGTCGTTGCACCTCTTGTCTTGGATAGTTTGCTTTTGGGGATCCCGGCCTGGTTTAAGGGGTCTGCGGGGTTTCTAGTTCCAAGCTTGACTGTACAGTAGAAGCCAGAAAGTTGGAATATCATTATCGTAACCCCTTTAAGGTAAATCATAGGGGATCCTACCATTAATCCATATTCCAACTTTCTGGAGTTCCCTTTAAGGGCTTAGGAAGTTTAGGGCTTCGGGTGCTGGCTTTTGTGTCCTTTGCTATGTACACCCATGCCCTTCAACCCCGAGGTCCTGAAGAATTACGATACTGAGACGAGCGCAACACTTCGGATCGGTGGTAGCGCCCCCGCTCTTCGAAAGTCCCGAGATCCGCGCATGCAGCGATGGATTGCTAAGCCGAACTTGTAAGGCTTCTGGCTGGATGAACAAACATGGACATTTCGGATTTGGGGGGTTTAGGGGTTTCGGGGTTTTGGGGTTTAGAGGTTTAGGGGTTCAGGGGTTTGAGGGTTTAGGGGTTTAGGGGTTTTGGGGTTCAGGGGTTTGGGATTTGGGGTTTGGGGGCTTTGGATTTGAGGTTTAGGCTTTAGGGTCTATATATGGCTAAGTGCAGAGTTCCGGCTGCATAGCGAAACGCAAACCCTTGAACTCACATACCCTTAGGGTTTAGGGTTTAGGAATTAGGGTATAGGGTTGAGGGCCACGTTGGGGTTAGGGGTTAGGGTTTTACTGTAGGGTTCAAGATGTTCAGAGACCTGAACTCCCACACTGAAGCCCTGAACCCCGAATGTCGATCCGGAAAGCCTATACTAGACTCCAAGGCTTGAAAAACCTTAAACCTAAACCCTGAACCCTAACACCTGACGACCCTACACCCTAAACCCTAAACCCTAAGGCCCTAAGACCCTAAACCTCTTAGACCCAAAACAAGGAACATGCAACCCTAAACCCTAAACCCTAAACCGGAACCCTAAACCCTGAACCCCCGAACCCAAACCCCGATCCCTAAACCCTAAACCCTAAGCCCCCAAACCCTGACCCCTAAACCAACCCGAAACCCCAATTCCTAAACCCCCAATCCCTAAACCCCAGCCCCCAAAACCCTATAGTAGAAGCCAGAAAGTTGGAACATCATTCTCCTCATGCCCTTAAGGTAAGTTATAAGGGATCCTAGCACGAATCCTTCTAAAGCCATGTTCCAACTTTCTGTCTTCTAACCCCAAATCCTAAGGGCCTAAGACCCTAAAACCTCTTAGACCCAAAACAAGGAACATACAACCCTAAACCCTAAACGGAACCCTAAACCCTCAACACCTCGCAACGAAGCCGGCAGTGCCCGGTGGAGAGAAGGAAGGGGGCGGCATGGCACCAGCCCGCCTGCCTCGGTCTTGAGGCTCCTTTTTAATGGAATTCAAGGCGTAGGCATAGGGTTTAGGGATTAGGGTTTAGGGATTAGGGTTTAGGATTTAGGGTTTAGGGATTAGGGTTTAGGGATTAGGGTTTAGGGATTCTGGTTTAGGGTTTAGGGTTTAGGGGTTAGGATTTAGGGTTTAGGGTTCAGCTCACGAAACCCTATCCTCCAACCCTCAACCCTAAACCTTCATAAACTCTACAATCGCAACTCCCTGGTCGAACAGATGCACTTCGGGGGCTTCCGTTTCCTTGCTCTCTTCGGGCCTTCATGACTTGGGAGTTTCCGAAAACTAGGGGTACCCTAATTTGGGGGTCCTTACGATAAGGATCTACTATTTAGGGTGCTGGATTAGGGTCCCCTATGTTCGGAAACTCCCAAATTATTAGAGTCGGGCTTGGAGGTATATCATACCATAAGAGGACCCTAATATAGTACCCTAAATAGTAGTATCCTTAGTATAAAGACGCCCAAAATACTAAGGTACTTGGACCTTTGCCTCGGACTAGCCGGTAACTCGGCTCGTTGCTCTGGGCCTTCCAGCCGAGCTTGCGGCTCCAGAGCATGCCCTAAACCCTCAAACCCTAAGCCCCAAACTCTAAACCCTACATCCTAGGCCCGAAACCCTGAAGCCCCAAACTCTAGAGTCCCAAACCCTAAAGCCCGATACCCGGGCTAATTGCTTCGGTCTTGGTGATTCGGCCGGCTTCCTGACAGCAGCAGTTGAGTGTGGAGTGAAGCAGCCTGGCACCATGGGGGGGGTTGCTTAAAATCATGGGCCATTTTGGTCCCCTAAACTGTAAGCAATAGACTAAAATACAGATCCCAAAAGGGCCCATGATTTGGATCAACCCCCATATCACCTTGAGTAGAAATCAGAACTCTGGGCGGCGCGATGCTCGGAAATCCCAGGACAGCGCATCCTTCCTAGGGAGGTCCTCGAAAAAACAAGAAGATTAAGATTTCGGGTTTGACGGGTTTGCACTTTAGGGCTCTTCTTCTTCTTCGACCATAGCAAAATCCGTCGGATGCGGGCGAAAGACAAAAAAAGACAGGGCTAAGGGTTTAGTGTTTAGGGGTGGGGGATTTGGCGTTTTAGGGTTTTAGGTTTGGGGTTTAAGGCCCTTGGGAATCGTCTCTACGATAGCATCACAGCCACAGCAGGACAACAAGATATCTGAGCGCGACCTCGTTACCTCATAGAACCCTAAACCCAAAGCACCGCCTGACCCGCTGAAAGATCAGATCCTACCATAATAGGGTTTTGGCATACTGCGTTTCTGTGCTGGCTAACTTTCTTGGCAAAACCGAAGACGACTAGGCCTTGTTGCGCAATCTACAAGGGTTTAGGGTAACAGGGTTTAGGGTTTAGGGCTTTCGGGTAATAGGGTTTCAGGGTTTAGGGCAGGGCTCAGTGTGAAACTGCCTTTCTGCCTCGACGGCCACACCTTGAAGAACTTTGATGCTAAGAGCTGCAAGAAGCAAGAAAAAAGCTGTCTGCAAGCGGGCAACGTCGCCAACTCCTGGCAGGGGCATGTATATTCAAGGCATGTTTCAGGTTCTTGCCGCAAGGCTTAGGGGAGAACAAGTAGCGTGTAAAGTTGGTATTCACGGCGTAGGCACAATGACCTGATACAGTACGATGTCTGGCCTACTGTTTGGCTCCCGCCCAAGTATGCGGGAACTAAATTGTTGACCCTTGGGGCTATATTGGTATTCTACTGACTTACCCCAAACCCCTAAGCCCGTAAAGCCCCAAGTTCCAGATCCGATATCCCAAACCGCAAAACCCTGACCTCTGTCCACTACTAAGCCTCAGGGTACCAAGGCATTCTGTGCTCCAAGAGAGCTTCTGCTTTCAGGGAATCAAGATCTCAAGGAAGGCAGTGCCTAAACCGAAGCGTTTCGAGTTCACGGTTCAGGGCCAAAGCTTACACCCCTCAGACCTGAAGCCCCACCCTCAATTGAAAACCCTAAACTTATCTTTGGTTAGTAGGGAATGGAGGAATGGGGTACAATTATGACTACTAATACTCCCATTCTTCCATTCCCTACTAACCAAACCCTAAACCCTAAACCCTAAACCCTAAACCCTAAACCCTAAATCCTAAACCCTAAATCCTAAACCCTAAACCCTAAACCCTGAAACTACAGAGTTCGAAATCCTGCCGACCGAAGATCTCCAAGCCTCTTGAGACACCAAGGAGTGTGGCACTCCCTACGGTTTAGGGTTTAGGGTTTAGGGTTTTCAGTCGGGGCTCTGGATTTAAGCTAGACCCAAGAGTAACCTAGGAATAAAAAGGGTGCCCTGTTTGGTTTAAAGGGGGTTATAAGGGAACCTGAACCCTAAAAAAGGGAATAAGGGCCTACTCTAGGTCCTAGTAAGGTTTAGGGTTGAGGAGTGCAAGCTTGGGCCCTGAACCCTGAATCTGACTCTCACTTGGGCGTCTATGGGAGTTAGTAAGTACAACTACAAGTACCTTAACTGGGGATATAACTATTTGCAAAAAAAGCTGGATTACTTTTTTATTTCACGAGTTAGTCAACCCCATGAAACTTTGTATCATACCTCCAAATCCAAGCATAGGAAAGCCCTCTGAAGGCAAAGACAGCCGATCAGAGAAAGAAATCCGCAGAGCAAGACTCTGCAGGAAATTGTCACCTCTGTTGGTCCTCTTTTGCAACAAGCCCATATGCGATTGCAACCCTACGACTTGATTGCAGGATATTTATGGTCAGCTTCTTTTTGACACCTAACTCGAACCCTAACTCGCATATTGCGCCTCGGTGAACGCGTCCATCGCCGCCTCTGCGACCCGCAGCGTATTTTTCACTGGAGCCTCCTCGTCAACCTCGAGACAGGGGCAAATCACAGCGAGCTCTGATGTATGCGTGTGCATAGATGAACATCTATGTGCATATGTATGTATGTATGTATGTATGCAAGTATGTTGTTGTGTATGTGTGCATGTATGTAGGTATGTATACATGTAGGTATGTACCTATGCATGGACTTGGCGGATGATTGGATGCATGGACGGACGCATGTACACGCCTGTTTGTGTGCATGCGTGCCTGCTTATGTATGTGCATGTGTGCATGCATGCACACATGAGCGCACGGATGAACGGATGGAGGTATGGCTGTGAGGATCTGCGCTTGTATGACTGCAGGCGTATGTGTATGTACATGTATATTACATTTGGATGGATAGTGACATATGGGCATGTTTGTACCTGTGTGCTCGTTCCTCTGTAAGCACTTTGGTACGTACACGTGCATGTATGCATGCATGCACGTCTGTATGTATGTACGAAAGCACGCACGCACATATGCATTTATGCATGTATGCATGTATGCATGCATGCGTGCATGGATGTCTTCACGTACGTGTGATTGGATGGATGGATGGATGGATGGATGGATGGATGCATGGATGGATGGATGGATGCATGGATGGATGGCTGGATAGCTGGATGGATGGATGGATGGATGGATGGATGGATGGACGGCTGGGTGGGTGGGTGCGGATGCATGCATGCATGATGGACAGACGGAAGGACAGACAGATGGATGGACGGATGCATGGGGTGAGATTGTGTGAATGTAGGTACACACATATGCGCATGTGCGCAGGCAGACGTTGCATACAGGATGCAAGCAACAACATGCAGAAAGGCAAAAAGAAAGACGCAAGTTCCAAACCCCAGCCTGCAACCCTTTCGATGGAAGCAGCCAAGTGCGCCACCGTCCGATTGAATGCACGCCACCGTGTGGTTGAACCCCGAACGCCTCTACACCGCTGTGCTAGACCAATTAGCAAACAAGTTTGCGGAGGAAGGAATACATGCATAGCGAGTATGCATAGTGTCTATAGCAAGAAAAGAACCTGAGTACACGCCTGGAGAAGGCTGGCTGAAACAGCGAAAAATATAGGATCGAATCGAAGCCCTAAACCCTAAAACCCTAAATGCCCAGACCCCTATAAACCTTCATGTCATAGAAACCCCCTATACAACCTTTACACAAACCCTCATAAGAAGAACCCTTGAAGAAACACTAACCTCAAACAAGCCTCGAAACCCTAAGCTATTAACCCTAAGCCCTAAACAAGCCTCTCAACCCTAAACCTTAAACCCAAAGCCTTAAACCCTAAGCCCAAGCTCTGCAGGCACCCAGCCTCGAAGTAGTTCTTCGGAGCCAGCAGGCACGTGGACGTGATGCGTGCGATCTGAGCTCTTAGGAGGTGCTCCTCGCGTCCTTTCAAAGCAGGGTGACTAAGACTTGGACAGGCTGATACGTGGGGTTTTCTGGGGCTTTGTCGATCTTTGTATGGGTGGTTGTCAAAATTAGGGTCCTTTTTGGGTACCCTAAATATTAGGTGCCGTATTATAATAAGGACCCAAAAAGGGACCCTAATTTTGACAACCACCCATATGGTTCCTTGAAGGATCTCCAGAAGTGTGTGGTTTAAGGGCTATTCTGCTTTTATAAGGCTTTCTAGGGTCTCGGGGTTTTCGGAGGGTGCAAATTCACGACTGCTCAGCTGAGGATCACTGAGATTGGGGTTTAAAGTCTAGGGTTTAGGGCTGAAGCAGGGTTTAGGGTTTCGGGTTTGGGGATGGCGTTTGGGGGTTTAAGTAAAGGTTAGCGAGCTTGGGGTCATCGGCTGGGTTGCTTGGCAAGGAAGCGCGGAAAGCGTACTGAGAGCTTTTCAAAAACAAGAAGAGTCAAGAAGAGTGCTTTAAACACCTATCCTTGTTGAACCCTATTCTGGACGTTCTCCTCGTTCCTATACAGATGCCTTCGATCACACAGAACAAATGCGCACGACTAATATAGAGGCCTCAATAATTAGAATAAGGTTTCGGACATATGATATTATACCTTAACCTACCAAACCCTACTTTTTGTAGGTTCTTATTATAAACCTTGATATGGAGTTTATAGGGACCCTACAAAACACTAGGTTTTAGTTGCTTGAGGTAATTATAATAAGGAACCCCGACAACATATTCTGCGGCAAAGCCCCACGCCTGGAGGCCCAACTCCATGTCGTACCACTGCTGAAAGTGTGAGACGCCCATGTACCAGGAAGCTGATGCAGAAACCTCGGGCCTTTATTTGGGCTCCTTATATGGATCCTAGTATGTTGGTGTTATAGGCCCAGGGTTTCTTCTTCGGGATCCCACAGTATCACAAGTACTTCCATACCCGCCCAAAATTCAACACTTCCAAACCACTGCAGAGCTCAAAGGACAAGCATCTAAGCCTTGTGAGCTTGTATTCTACATGGGAGTTTCCGAAAATAGTGGACCCCAATATAGTACCCTAAAAGGTAGGATCCGTATTGTAAGGACTCCAAAAATAAAATAAGGTACCACGAACTTTCGGAAACTCCCACATATCGTCTCCGAGCCCAAACCCTAAACCAGAAGTTTCAACCGGAATCCAAGACCCTAAAAGCCCAGGCATCGAAGCCACCTACAAGAATCCTTTAACGACCTCCACCTGTCCAGTAAGAAGCCCATACTACGAAACCTGTAAATACAGACTTATACTAAACCAACAAGCTTGGCCCTAAACAGAAAACCCTATGCACCATATATGCCCCAAGCCCAGACAGCGAGTCACCTGGGAACCACGGAGTGGAGACCACGGATGCCGCCAAATCCCCGGACATCATGCGCTTCATGTGTCGGGCCTCAGACGCTTGCAGTTTTTTGGTCTAAAGTAAAAGCCAGAAAGTTGGAATATGATTCTCCTAGCCCTTCTATGGTAAATTATAAGGTATCCTACCATGAAACCATATTCCAACTTTCTGGAGTTCCCTGTAGGGTGTTAGGGCTTACGGTCCAGGGTCTCTTGGATTTTGCTTTAAACGCCCTGCTATCCCGCTTCTGATCCATAGAAGGCATTGAGTTTGTACTCAAGGGGTCAGAGGGTCTACATGAAAAGCACTGGGTCTTTCTTAAAGTTGGGTTGTCTGACTCTTTGTTCGTCTAGCGCAGGGTCCAGGGTTTAGGGTGTCGGGACTGAGATGTATCAACCCTCTCAGCTCAGGTGCCTAAACCCTGCAAACCCTGAAAACCCTAAATCCTGCAACCGCAAAACCCCTGAACCCCTAAACCCTAAACCCTACAACCCTACAACCCTGAACCCCTAAACCCTAAACCCTAAAACCCTAAACCCTAAACCCCAAACCCGGAAGCTCTAGGAACCCTAAGGACCAAAACCTCAGTCACGGAGGACCGGATTGCAGGAAAATGGTCAGGCAAATGTAGGAGCTAAAAGTGGGGGGCCTCAACAATGGGGTTCGAGAAGTCTCTACGGGTTTGAGCGGGTGCTAATAAGAGGGCATAAGTTTTGAGGTACATGAAAGTATAGGTCTGTCAACACTTCGCTACAAATATGTTAGGGCCCTGCATCAGGTGCTTGGGATATGGGGATTTCCGAAAAACAGGGGGACCCTAATATGGTACCCTAAATATGTAGGACCCTTATTATAAGGATCCCAAAATAAGGTACCCCCCTAATTTCGGAAACTCCCATATGCAGGCCGGTAGTTGTCAACCTAACCTGAGCTGCTCCCGGCTCTTGAGGTTTAGGGTTTAGGGTTGGGGGTTTAGGGTTTAGGGGTTTAGGGTTTGGGGCTTGGGGTTTAGGGTTTAGGGTTTAGGGGTTTAGGATTTAGGGGATTAGGGTTTAGGCGTTGTGGCTCGAGCACAGCTTCGGAGGGACGTCACCAACCTGGTGTGTCTGCTCCGACTGCGTATTCCCAACCCCAGCATTGCCATTGGCAGTGCGACTTCCGTCGGCTGCGCAGCCGCGGATAGGAGCCGGAGGCTCCACTCACCCAGGCAACGCTGCTATTCACTTAGCCGTCTGTTCTGGGTGTTCCTCGGTGGTGTTGTTATTCGCTGCTTCGGCCGACTGGCACACCGCTGAGTCGTATTGCCCCTTTTATGGGCGCCTTCAAGGCTTACTTCGCCATCATCCCCCTCGCGATCTTTGGCTTTTTCTTGCTTTGGATAGGTCAGGACGGCCGCGAAAAGGAGGGGCAGTCCTCCGTGGCACCGCAGAGAGCGGCGCGCACGCCACAAAGCTCGCCGCGCTTTGCGGCGTGGTATTATCACTGCCGACTCGCTGAGGGTTCTGGCCTCGCATCACGGCAGTATGCCTCCCAAGCAGCCATCCAGTGGGAGTGCCAAGCAAGGAAAGCACGGCGGGGGAAAAGGAGACCCACCTCAGCAATCCAAGGTGGAATTTGGACTCCCGGCCGGTGTGGTAACAGCATTGCAGTCTATTTCTTCCCGTGCAACGCACGACCTGTGGGGTCAATCGGCCTTCGCTGTCGAGGATGCATCTGCAGAACAGTTGGCGCAAAGACGTGCCAACGCTATTTCCAAGCTCTCAAAGCGTTTGGCGGGCAATGTACGTGCCAAAGAGGAGCTTATGGTGGCGCTCCGACAATGGTGCTCCACTCTGGGGCTGCACCTGATCGGCCTGATCGGAAGGGTCCGGGCCCTTGGCAGCACCATCGACGACGATACCACTGTGGCTGTGCGAGAAATGCAGGAGGCCCTGCTTGCGCAGCCCTCGGCCGCATCTTCCGAAAGGGTTGCAGCGGCGCAAGCCTCCTTGAGGAACACAGGAGAGCGCCGGGCACCCCCCCTGCCTTGTCCGTGGAGGGCCCTCTTGAGCCAGACCGTTACCCTACCTGCCATCGGTTGTGGGATCCTGCCTGTGGAGTCCTTGGACCCTTCCGTGGTGCTTCTCTGGAGCCTCCCGTTGCTCTTCGAGATGCTGCTCCTGCGTGGTCATTCTTTACCCGTGTGCACCCCCCACAAGACCCCCGCATGGTCGACTGGGTTCCGGTGCCCTCCGACCCGCTGTTCGCCACTGTCCTTCTTCAGTGCCCACCTGCCACACGGGCTGCGCTCCTCCCAGCTTCGTGCGCCGCCGCCGATTTGCTCCGTGCATGTAATCGAGTTGTCAGGGACCTGTCTCTCATCTTGGCGCCCCCCGAAATTTGGTGTGGGACAGCTACATCACCAAACCCAACCCTCGCCGGCCGGACGTTACTGGGACACGCTGCTCCAGGCTCGTCATTTCGCTTTCTGGGGTAGCCCATTCAGCATACGCCAACCTGGGCTACTGTTTGCCTGGTCACCCGGCGACCCAGTCCCACTCACTGTGCCCACGGTCCGTGACGAACAGTGGGACCCCGTGCACTGCACATTTCGGCCCTCCCTAGCCTGCTTCAGTGTCACTAGATGGATTCCTGCACTGCGGCTTGATGACCTCGGTCTTCACCTTGTCCCTGAGAGCCCGAACCTGCATCGTGCGCATGTTCTATCCGCTCAGCCTCCCCTTCGCGTCGCGACAGGGGGCGAGTGGCCTGCTGCGTGACGGCGATAGCCTTTCCGGCTGTCGACAAACCCCGATCCTTCTCCTTCCCCAGCTCTTGGTCGGGGGTCTGCTCCCGGGGTCTCTCCGGCGGCTTTGGCTTGCGGCCCTTGGTTTCGGGCTTTTGTCGGGTTACGGTCTGCCGGCCGCCTTAGCCCATACCCTCCTTCCTCGGGGAGGGGCCCTCTCAGGAGACTGCCATGCTCCCAAGTTCGATTTTGGCCTCCTGTATCGTACCAGCTGCGATCTCCGCGCCCGGGGTGCGCCTGTTTGGAGCAGCATTGATGGAATTTCGTGGTCGGCCGATGTTCATGAGGAATGCGTCGCCCAGGTATCCTTACACCAACTCTGGTGGTCCCATGAACTTTACCCGTATCTACCCGCATCCGCCCCTCCACCATACCGTCAGGCTTTCTGCAACTTCCCGCTCTGGTGTGGTGGCGTGCCCGACCAGGTTTTCATTGCCACTGACGGCAGCGGTGAACACGGGGGGGCCTGGGCCTTTTGCGTGTGGGCTTGGTGGCGTCATCGCTGGTACCGCGTCGGTTGGTTTGGGGCTTCTGGCTCTCAGCTCCCCTGGGCCCCCGACCTGCCGCCCTCGGCAGGCGGCCTATCATTCCACACTGAACTCTAGGCTGCCGGACTCTGGCTTATTGCCTGGGTTGACCGCCTGTCCCTCCTCACAGCCTCTGCTCCTACCAGGGTTACTGTGGCTGTCGATAACGCGGCGGCTCTTCAAATAGCGGCGGGACAGGCCCAAGCCGCAGCACCCGCCACCACCACCACTCGTTATGTTTGGCAGGCCGTTCAAGCTCGGATCTCCACACGGTTCCAGCATGTCCATAGCCCTGTCGGTGTGCTCCCCAACACCTTTGCGGACTACCTTGCCGGGTGGTCAGGTCGGGTCTCCTGGCAACCGTGGAAACAGCTTGACCCGTCGCTCCCCACCCTCATGCAAAACGCAGCTCCGTGGCTCTGGGTCATCCCACATGCTCGTGTCATAGAGGGCCGGCCGTGTATCTGTCTGGTCTCGCAGACCATCTCATGTGTCCCTGTTACTGAGGCTGGCGATGCGCTACCTCCTGTCGCGGATACATTGACACCCACAGAGGCCGCTGTTCCACCGTGCCGTACACCTGCCGCCTCTCCCATCCCTCTTCGCCTTGTCACAGCAAATGTTCAAACGATGCGTGACTCCAATGCCACGTTTTTCAATCCCTCAGGGCATGGTCAGAGGCGCCAGTACCTCTACTCTCAGGTTGCTAAACTAGGCCTTGATATTGTGTGCCTGCAAGAAACTCGCAGCAAGGGTGGCCGTTGGGACACAGCCGGTCTCCTCACTTGGCGCTCTGGCGCGCAGAAAGGGAGTTATGGCTGTGAAATTTGGATAAGGCCTGGCCTTGCTAATCCGCCCTTGCGCCTTGATGACTGGCGCATCGCCAGTGCCGATCCCCGTCTTCTAGTTATTGTCAGCAAGCGTGCTGACTTTCCCATTGCTGTCATCGCCGCACATGCCCCCCACGCTGAGCGGCCTGCTTCTGAGATTCACCACTTCTGGTCTTCGCTGCACTCCGCCCTGTGCCAGCTACCTCGGGCTCAGTGACTCGGTCTGGATGCTAATGCCGACCTCCTTTGGGCAGACGAAGACCACGCCTATATAGGCGACTGTTTGGGCAACAGCGAAGAGGGTGCTGGTGAGCAAGGTCTTTTCGACACCATCCAGCGCTTTGGTCTTCTTGCCCCGGCTTCTTTCTCCGACATCCAACAGGGCCCAGGCTGGTCTTGGGAGCATACGGGCGGTACTCGGAAGCGGCTTGACCACCTCCTGCTTCAGGCGGGCCCATGGCAATGCACCCGCGCCCGGCAACTGCCCGAGTTGGACATCCTCAACGGCCGCAGAGATCATATGCCTCTCCTCGTTGAATGCAGTCTTAAACGACAGGCGACACCGGCGAGACGCCCTGGAGCACCCCCCCGAGCCACCGCTCAGCAAGCGCAGATTATTGCTGCTAGCCTTTGGTGTGAGCTTCCGTCTCCCGTGCGCGGCATCACTGATGTGGGGCAGGAGGTCCGGGATCTCAAAGCAAGGCACCTCCGCCTCCTGAAGGCCCTCCCGAGGGCCCCTCGGCGGCCTGCCCGACAGCCATACATTACTGATGCGTCTGTCGCTGCCCTGGATGTTGTGCGCCAAGCTCGCGAGCAACTACCGCGCCTCCGCAATAATGTCGAATGGCAGAAACGGCGCTTTCTTCTACTAGTGTGGCGCTGGAGCTGCGTCCGGGGACGATCCGACACTGCAGTCCCTCGCCCAGACCCCACCGGACTTCAACATGCCCGGTTGTTGTTGCAGGCCTGTAATCTGCACATCCGGGGTCTGCAGCAGAAGGCACATTACCTCGCTCGTTCTGACAAACTTGCCCATTTCCGCACCCTTACTCTTGCCGCCACCCAGCACTGGGAATCCACAGGCATTCCTTTGGAATCTATCCGACATCTTCGATGGGCCTCCCGAAAGGCCCATGACCGCCGGGCGGTGCATGCCGCTGGCGGTTTCGACATTGACCGTGAGCTCGAAGCACAATTTCGCGACCAGGAAGATGCCCGCCTTGTCTCTCCTGCACAGCTCTCACAAACAGCCGAGCGGTGGCTCTCTGCCGATGCCACTCGCTCCCCGTGCCTCGAGGCAGTTCCTTCACTGCTCCAAATGGAGCAGATGTGCATCCGACAGGCACCGGCTAAGGCACCAGGACCAGACGGCCTGCGGAACGAGCTCTGGCGGGGCCACGGAGCCCTTGCCGGTCAGTGGCTGTGGCCACTTTGTACCCGTATCGCGCTTCAGGGTCGCGAACCCTTTGATTTCAAAAAGGCCATCGTCTGCGCCCTCTACAAAAAGGGCCCGGCATCAGTGCCAGCCAATTACCGCTCAATCGCCCTCCTTAACGGCATTGCTAAGTTGTGGCATTCACACCTTCGCGCCACGGTTGGTGGACATGTTCTGTCTCGTTATGAGCCCATGCAGCTAGGAGGGCGCCGCGGCGTCCACACTGGTTTCGCGTTGGCCGCTTTCCGACGCGCCTGGGACCTCTCTGTCTCTGCGGGGCGGTGCGTTGCTGTTGTCTTTGTCGACATCCAAGCCGCTTACTACGAGGCTAGCAGAGATCTGCTGTTCGATGGCTTCCCTGACGATGTTGACGTCCCTGAGCACCATCACCTTGCTGGACTTGTCCTCCAGCTTCACCGTCAGGGGGCCCTTTCTGCTCTGGGAGTTGCTGAGGATGTCAGCGCGCTCCTGCGGGATTGTGTTGCCCTGTCTCATTGGTCGCTCTCCGGTTCGGACAACATCTTCCTGGCCTCTAGAGGTTCCCGTCCCGGTGACGGCCTCGCCGACGTCCTGTTTGGTGCCCTATTTGCTATCGGGCTGCAACACATCCAGCGCACCGCTTGTTCCATGGGCATCTCACACACCAGTGCCGGTGTTGAGATCGGCCTCGAGCCAGGTGTCAAGCCGATTGGCTGGGCTGACGATCTAGCCGTCCTTGCGGACTTTGATAGTCCTGCCGAGCTCCAAACACAGCTTCCCCACCTTACCGGTGTCATTCTTGACACTCTCCGTTGCTTGCGGTTCCGGGTCAACCTTGGAGCGGGCAAGACCGAGGCCCTTGTTGATATTAGGGGAGAAGGTGCACGAGCAGCGCGCGGCGCCTTGCTCAGCGGTGACGCCCTATTGGAAGTCTCCGAAGGTGACAGCATTCGTCTCTGCCCAGAGTACAAATACTTGGGTGTCGCCCAGCTGCCTCGAGACACCGGCAGACGTGACTGCGAGCTGTCGGCACAGCGAGGGTCCGCTGCTGCGTCTCTTGCTCGAACCCTGCTTTGCAGCAAGTGTCTGCCTTGGGAGCTGAAACGAGCCTGGATTACTGGACGTGTCCTCCCCTCCGCATACTCCTCCCTGGCCTTTTCGCGCGCTGATTCCGCCCGGGCCGCTGCGCCGTTGGCTGGACTCTTTGAACGCACTGCCAGGATTTTGCTGTCATCTTGGCAAGTTGGCCATAAGCTCACCACCCCTTTGCTCCGGCTTCTTGCTGATATCACCCCTCCCGACCTTGCGACCACTGTTAGCCAGTGCCGCCTCTGTGTGCAGATATTCTGCAGGGCACCTGCAGCTGTCAGGGACATAGTTGATGCTGCGTGGAACCGAGCACTCCCTTGGTGTCAGGCCCTCGTCCTTGCTTGTTTGCGCGTTGGAGCCGCCTTAGATTCCTGGGACCCTGCCGCTCCCCCTTCCATCACTGTCCTGTTCGTTCAGCAGAACGGACGCGCTCTCCTGCGAGCATGCAAGGCTCTGAGCAAATTTGGGCACAGATATGCTGCCTGCGCACAGCTTTGGGCGGATCTTGCCACCCGCCGCACCACGAAGATCCTTGGCGCGCCACAGTCCCACAGCTGTCCGGTCTGTCAAGGCGTTTTCCCGAGCCTACATGCGGTACGAGCTCACATGCACCGGAAACACGGTGTCCTTTCTGATGTGACTGCCTAATTATATGGCTGGCTCGGTTTGTCTTTGGTGCATGCGAGACTTCCAATCCTCGGATCGATTAAAGCACCACCTTCAAACACAGCGCTCCTGCCTGCACGGCCTGCGTGTTACTGTTGGACCTGTCTACCAGTACGGTTCGGGCACAAAGCGCTCAGGTCGCGCCAGCCATCGTGGAGTCCCTCCGCAGCGCCTCTGCGGGCCCTGCAACAGCACCCCGGTGCAGAGGCGGGCTGCCGACCTGGGGGTGCCGGCCGACGACGCTGCTCTGCAAGCAGAGTGGGACGCTGTTCAACGCTCCCCTGCACTCTCGGACCTTGTACCCGGCAACCTTCACCGACCAACTACTTTGCTGCCTATCGGCGACGACTCCGGCGCACGGCAGGTCTGGCACATTCCCGCTGCACGGGGTTCTTCCCCCACGCCCTCTGCCTCCCAGCCTTCCTGCTCGGCCACCGCTGATGTGGCCTCTCCTGTGCTACACCCTTTGCAATGGTTCTCCATTGTGGAAGGGGCCGCTGGCTGTGACGACTGGGCCCTCCCCTCGCCCTGGTGGCCTGGGCTTCTTGGCCTCGGAGGGGTCTTTCAACTTCCCTCCTCTTGGCACCGGCTCTGGCCTATGTGGTCTGCGCTCGAGTTCTTCGAACCTTGGGAGAATCGGGCCATCCGTCGCTTCGGTGCTCTGCGCTCCGCCTCTTCGTGCGGTTTGGGCGCAGCCGCCACACTTACTGATGCTACTGCTGGCAGGTGGTCTCTTTTGGAGTTGGCCGCTGCCACGGTGTCCTTCCGCATGATCTGCAAGACTGTCCTCCGCCGCGGTGCTCTCTGGCTTTGGGGGCACCCCAGCAATCAAGGTCTTGCCCTGCTGCGCCGTCTGCTCCCGGCGGCCTTCTTCTTGGATTTTCATTCGCCGAGGGGTCGGGTCTTCCTTGCCGCAAGCTCTGCCTCCCTGGCCTCCCTTGTGCGTGCTGTCATTGCTCGACCTGCCTTCTCGGTCCCGGTCTCGCTTCCGTTGCGGGCTTTTTGGGCCTACCCGGCTGCATGACTTGCCGCCCTTGTACAGCCTTCTCTGTCTGCCCTTTTCGTTTTCGTCTCCGGCCGCGCGGCTATAGCAGCTGCGCTTTTGGCCTTTGCATGCCTTAGTTAGCACAGGACATCCTCTTGCGCGAGTGAGTGAGTGAGATTAGGGTTTCAAATCAAATCCTCACTTTCGTTCTAGTGGCGAGCGTTCAGGGCTTACGGCGTAATATGGTGGCCTTCATGATTAGAGCGGGGGTGGCGGAGATGTAATATACTATAAGCATATCAAAGAACCCGAGACATTACATCGTATTAGTACTGGCTCATGTCGCGATACTGGCTTCTTGCGCAGGAGGTTAAGCCGAGTTACCAGGCTGAGGAACCATACTACTTGTTATAGATCCCTTTTGTGGCAACTTATGCTAAGTTCCTGACCAGTACCATACGGGACTTTGGTGGCTTGTTGCTGAAACTAGAGTATAATATACCACAAAACCCTGTCCTAATTATGAAGGCCTCTACACTAGACGAGCTAGACAGTCTTGCTCTTTTTCCGCTGGGCTGGGGGATTCCAAGCCTTGGAGACAACAGACCCAGAGAGACCCAGCGCCCTTAGTTCGGCAATATACCTGATTTCACATCTAAGATCCCTCCGGCTGATGATAAAAATCCTGCATTACCCATAACAAGGAGTATACCATGATTCCCAGTCTAGGATCATTAAGGTAATGCAGGATTTGTCTAATCAACCGTCTCGATAATTCATTGAAGGTCCCTCTCGATAGTTTCTGGAGCAAGACCCTGATAAAGGACTTAAAATTGTAGCTTCTGAAGGTTCTAGTGGGGCTTAACGCGTTTGGATGCAGCCTGATGTGTGCAGCTTCAGATGCATCCTGAGCCATATAGAGGCCTTCATAATTACCAATACTATTTTGAGGGTTCCTTCTTATAATCAAAGTTGAATATTTCCAGAAACCCTATTCTAAGCATAGAGGCCCCTATACATTTTAAAGAGGGGACCCTACTCTAATTATTAAGGCCACTATATTCTCAACTCTCTTCGCCAAGCTTCTGCTTTGATCTGGCTGGCACGGGCGTGGGGGAGCCGTACCCAGGGATCGAACCTAGGTGGGCTTGTTTCTCTTGCGGGCGCCACATGTCTCAAAACATTATGACTGGCTCATAACTTTTGTTGAAGTTTGAGAAGGATTTTGTAGCAGGACTTTGTATGGCTTTGTAAACAATTTTGCAGGATTGCCAGGTGTTATGGAGATTTGGGGGTTTTGGATCTTGGGCATAAGACAGTATGGGGTTCAAGCTGGATCCTGACGCCTTAACTAGCCCGTGACGCTCCACTTGTAAAGGCTCTGGGTTCAGGCTTTAGGGCGGTTTAGAGTTTAGGGGTTAGGGGTTTAGGGTTTAGGGTTTAGGGTTTAGGGTTTAGGGTTTAGGGGTATCTTATACGGTACATGTAGCATGGAGTGCCACGGAACAGTATAAGAAAGTACTCAGGCCTTCGTGTTCACTCAGGCCGAATCGCGAATCAGTATGGTGGGGTTGACTTCGGACGGACTTCAGGCAAGGGTCTAGCCTCAATAGTTAGAAGAGGGTTTTGGGCTATATCGTACTACCATTCTGGGCGTGCTACTGCTCCCAGTTGTGTAGCATGCACGCCTGGTTTCCGTTAGCCTATGCAATCTGTAAAACTTTCAACACTCTGCTGTGTAGCATAACCCAAGTTCCTGGTGCAATACATCTCCAGGATGACTTCAGGCGCAAGTCGTTCGTCCCCGTGTCATCTCGGAAGGTTGCACGCCAAACCTCACACCCCAAACATTTCTGCGTAGAGATTCCTTGCTGCAGGGCTTGACATAGATACCCGCCGCCATAAACCTGACGCCCTCGAGGCATAAACCCCTGAAGCGTGCAGTGGCTGAGGACGCCACTGCCCACTCTTCACCCAATAGATGCAACGGTTCGAGCCTTTGGCCATATGGGGCACTTAGCAATTAGAGTATTGCGGTTCCTTTGTAGGATTTCTATATAGGTTCAACAATATAGAGGTTCTGGGCTTAGGAGGGGCCCTAATGGCTGGACTGGGGTGTTTGGAGTAGATTTTGATACAACTATGCGGACTATGTGAACTTCTCCCGAAAAGCCTAAAAGGAAGAAGTCTTATATGTAGCACCTAAGCCTGACCTACCTGGACCCCAAAAGTATGTAGAATAATAGCCTTTTATGGGTATCATATTGCTCAAACAGAATCTGGGATTCAGGAATGTCTAGCTGTTGGGACGTTTGGGTGTAGAGGAGTCGAAACTCCCAGATTTGGCATTGGCGTTTTGGGGTTTAGGGTTTAGGGTTTAGGGTTTAGGGTTTGGAGTTTACGGATGCTGAGGGATTGTGGCGTTGGGAAGCCTGACGAAAACACTACTGCAGGTCCACAGGCCACAGGGCCACTGGAGGCGACAGCAGAAACACGGACAGACTTGCGGCAGTCCATGTCGCAATTCGCTTTCGTTCTCCAGAGCCGGATATTGCAACTGATGCCCAGCACAAATCGACTCCATTCGCCATGTGGAGTTTAACTTAGGCTTTAATCCAGATCGCGTGCCAGTGCAAGGCGCGCATGCCGCACGGATTTTGCGAGACCGGCGTCCAGCCCAAGGGCAGACCGCCTACACAAGAGATCCTAAAGGTTTCTACTACTACTTAAGAGCTCTGGGGTTCTCTAGGTGAACTACCGTAAGTATGAGAGCCCCACTTGCATCGCTGACCAAAGGTATACTCTACCTATGGCTGCGAGTGTGGATCCTCGGGTGTTTGGCAGCTTGGGGTCTGTGGGGTCAAGAAACTAAGATAGCGGCCTTTGGAATTACCTACACTCTTTTTTTGGGGGGGAGGGTGGGTTCCTTACAAGAATACCAGTATAATGCGCCCCAAAACCCTGTTCTAAGTATTAAGGCCCTACATCATAGAATCCTACTAGACTATAGATCCCCTATAGACCCCTTTAAGGGACCCCTTTAAAGGAACCCCTATTCTAATTCTTCAGGCCCCTAGATTCGGTCTTCGGTGTGGGGATGAAAGTATATTAGGGTAGTTGTCAATATTAGGGTCCCTTTTTGGGTCCCTATGATAATACGGCACCTAATATTTAGAGTGCCCAAAAAGGGACCCTTATTCTGACAACCGGGGCTTCGGTGTCACGAGGCCGAGGCCGCGAAGCTTATGGATCCTTAAACTTAAGAAACAACCTCGCCTAAACCCCTAAACCCAAAACCCCCAACTCCTAAACCCCAAAGACCCTTATAGCAAGAAGAGCCCCGAAAGCTGGGTTCTTTTTCTAAGGGGGTTTCATTTAAGCTACCATACTTACGAAACTATATTATGTATCTTAGATTCCTATTAACGTAACTTAATCCTTAAACCCTACACCTTTAAAGGAACCCTTATAGATCCCTTAAAGGAGGCCATATAGGTCGCTATTATGGCAACTTAAGCTACATCCCTTAACAACCAAAGCCCCCAAAGGCCTTGTCCACGAGGCTCCACGTCGTCCTCGGGCATCATCGGGGCAGGGACGCCCGCTCCCTGGAGACAATCGGATGCCAAAAGGACCGTTGAGTTGCGTTGGGGTTTAGGGGTTAGGGTTTACAGTTTAAAGTTGAGGGTTGCGGGTTTGGGCTTAGGGTTTAGAATTTAGGGTTGAGGGCTTGGGCTGTAGGGTTTAGGCTTGAGGGCTTTGGGTTAAAGGTGTTATCGGAAGGGCAGTATGAGGTTTTAGAGAACGTCTTGAGTCTTGAACCGGGTTTATCAGGTTGCATGGGACTTTACTAGTGCTGCTACTGCTACTACTACTACTACTACTACTACTACTACTACTACTACTACTGCTACTGCTACTACTACTACTACTACTACTACTACTACTACTACTACTACTACTACTACTACTACTACTACTACTACTACTACTCCTGCTACTACTACTACTACTACTACTACTACTACTACTACTACTACTACTACTACTACTACTACTACTGCTACTACTATTCGTTTTTGCACTGTTCTATTGGGCTTTAGCTGCTTGTGAATCCGTCGTCGGACGATCCAGCCGAGACTGATTCAGGATCCTTGCACCACATACATCTCCAGGACGAATGATGGACTACGAGCCAGTCTATGCCGAGTGTAGTACTTCTTGAGGCTTAGGGTTTCTGTGGGGCTTGGGACTAACATGCGTCAGCGGGCACTCCACAGGATCAGGTGGAAAGAAGTCGCCACTGCCCGGAACTACGGCCTGTGTACCCAGAAGCTACGTAAAAGTTTCTTCACATCCGCGAAGACTGTGCAAAGCCTGATACGTCAAAGCCCCAAAACCCGAGGCCAACAGACCCTTATGTAAGGGCCGTAGTATCTCGGGATGCTTTGGGTAGTTATGATTCTATTAGGGGCAAATGGGAACGTTGCTACTGATTTGTCCGACCCCTGCGACCCCTATATTGCAGCACCCTGCCTGGAAGGTGCTCTCTGCGATGTAATAGTCGCCCTCGGTTCCCAGCACCTGCCATCACCCGATTGCTAGGGCTGCCCTAGTTTCCTTCCCAGGGGCCCTAAGTAATTTCCGCGAAAACTGCAGTTCCTTATTCTTTACCCCCCCTAGAACCATAATGAAAATAATAGCTGTTAATATTCTCTTGGGCTTTATATAAACAAAAAATTAAAAGAGTAATTCCTAAGGAGACTATAGTATTACTATCCCGACCCGAAGTACAAGTACGTTGCACCCTCGGGGCTTGCATGTCGGCTGTCAAGTTGTTTTCTCGACCTTGACTTTGAGCTTGCGCGAACCAACTTACTATCCGGAATGGCTTGATTTTCATCATCCAACTCGACTCAACACTCTGCAAGGGTGAACGTGGACGCTGATGACTCGGACACCCCGCTTGAACTGCCGGCTCCATTCAAACAACAGTGATAACTCTTCTTCGCGTTTTGGGCTTCGTCCACAACCTCACACACCTGAACTCTCACATCTGCAGTATCGATGACTGCTGTTTCTGCCACGTGCTCGCACTGACCAAAACATGCTTTTCAAGTCGGGAGTGAAGCGCTCCTAAGGCCTAGATAAACACTAAACCCCTAAACCCTACATGCACTAAAATGTCAGGTTCGGAGTTTGGGGTTCCGGAAGTCCAAAATCAACAACTTTTTATCCGAAAATGTGATCCTAAGCCCTAAACCCTAACCCTTCACGTGGGCCTATCCTAAACCCTGAAACTAACCCCTTGATCCGAAAATCGTGGGCTTAGGGCTTCGGGATTGAGGGCAGTTCCGTTCTCTGAGGCAGCAGAGGAGGGCTCAAAGGCCTGGCGTAGGCTTTACAGGTTGTGGATTTAGGCCGTTTCGGCTTACGTATGAGGGTTTAGGGTTGAGCGTCCAGGGAATACCTAACACTTCGGGTTTAGGGTTCTGTGGGCAACAACAAGCTGTTACTGTCACTCAGCAGGTGGTCGGATGACCAGATCTCGCCGTTCGTCTGTGCATGTTTGGAGATTGGAAAAGCCGAATTCGGGACCCTTTAGGGGTTGGGGTTGAGGGTTAGGATTTATTGTTAATGGTTTGGGGTTTCTTAAAAGGGGGCCCTTGACCCCAGCTTCTGAAACTGCAATGGTAACGGAGAAAACCCCATCAGGCATCCCCCGAACCCCATAAGCACTCTGAGGCTCTACCAAAATACACATCCTGAAGCCTCTAACACCCAAACCCTGAAAATTCGTGGGGCGCCTTGCCCCAGAGGCGCAGGGATTCGAGGCCAGGCGTGTTGGCAGCTAAAGCGCGCAAAGACATGGCCATGTGGTAGGACCTGGAAGTGAAGGTTTAGGGTTTCGAGTTTAGGGTTTAGGGGGTTTCGGGTTTAGGGTTTCGGGTTTATAGGGTTGAGGGGTTTAGGGGTTTAGGGTTTCGGGTTTAGGGTTTGCCGTAGACGCAGGCGATAAGATCTTGCGAGAAGGTTGTGTCGAGTGCCTCGTACAAAGGCGAAGAGCTGCGAAAGCCTGTCTACAGAAGGCTTTTTCCTTCTTTCATTCCCACCCCACGCCGTTCAAGGCGGCTAAGCTAACCTATTCCTTTTGAGGGGTTTCGGCTTAAACTCATGACATGCCACTTTTCTGCCAACCAGGCAGAGCAGGCAGGGCAGGGCAGGGCAGAGCCCAGGCAGGGCGGCAGGCAGGGCGGGCAGGCAGCTGACCAAGTCACTAGGACAGGCCTGGCTGGGTCGCAAGCTCTTTTTGGGGGTCCTGTGCCAGGCAGCGATGCCTTGAGGTTTAGCGTAATGACTTTGTCAAGGGACCAGTACTGGTTCCCGACGAGAACGCGCCAGTACCGGGTACGACATGGGTGCTACGGTCCCCATGACTGTGGAGAGGCGAGAGCCAGGGGTCGTGGGGCTTAAGTGCCGCCCACGGAGGTGGGAGGCCGATGCCTTGAGTTTTAAATTCACGCCTTCGGGAATCCGATGCTTGGAATGCTTAGGCGTAAGGGGTTTCGGGTTTGGGGCGGGCTAATTCGGCCGGGGCTCCTGGGTTCAAGTCCTCTGGGGTTTGGTTTTTTCCGCTTTCCCAGCCTGTCGTAAGTTGCCCAAGGTCAGGGCCCTAAACCCTAAACCCGAAACCCGTAGCTCTCGCAGGGTGTTGAAGTGAGGCAACCAAGGCTGGATTCAGGTACTAAAACAACTACTTACAACTACCGGTAAACCTACAAAACCCCATATCAAGTAGAAGTTAGTCACAACAAACCCCATTCAAGTCTTCAAAGACAGCATAAACTGCTGCTACAACCTTCCCTGTGAAACCTATTGCAGGCCCTAATCAATCCCGTGTAAACCCAGGATAGTCGCCCAAACCCTGAAGCCTAAACCCTAAACCCAAAATCCCTATAGATCCCTTGTAGAGCGAGCCCTGATGGATCCCTTTAAAGGAACCCTTATGAATCCCGTGAAGGTACCGAAACACCCTAAAACCTCCAAGGCTCCGACTCTTGCTTGCCGAAGCCGACGCCAGCCCACTCGAACATGGCGGCATCCTGATGGCTTCACCAAACTGAGTGATGCGGTTGATGATATCAATCCTGCATTACCCAGCATACGGAATATGCCATAATTCCCATAGTTTCGGGTTCTTGAGGTAATGCAGGATTTATATCATCAACCGTCCTGAGTAGTTAAACTTCCGAGAGATGACTAGGCTAAGGCTCCCTGACTGGGCGGCTTTCCTGGTCAAGGAAGAACTCTTCTGCTACTTGCAGGCTCATGGGCCTTAGTAAGTACAGTTATAAGTACCTTCACTGCGGTTTGAATGTTGGTACAAGTCTACGTCCCATAAACCTTTAAGTAGTGCCATAAAAAAAGGATTTCGAGCCCGTGTATTTGTGTTCCGCTTTACGCAATTTTACGAGCTCGTGCGCCGCCAGGGTGGATGCGAGATGATGCGGGAAATACTGACTCGGAGGCCAGCTATCATAGAAGGAACGGAACAGTGGCATCCGAAGCCAGGAACTCGCCGCACGTGAGATTTTAGGTGGAGGATGCAGCTACATGGACCATGATGGACCATGAAGGTCTCTCACGGTCACGAAACTGATCGCGTCGAGTTCAACCCTGCGGCTGCCACCGTCATCGTGGTGTCCCTCGTATGAGCGGCGTGCAGCTGCTCCCACACGGATGCCTGTATAACACTGAGGAATACAGATCCAAAACAGCAGGCTCACTCTCCAAAAATAACCGGACCCCGAACACGGATCCAAACTTTAAGATTCCTTTTCGCACCACCGCTAACCATCCTAAAGCCTACTACCAAGACCCGACATCCCAACCCACAGATTGAGGGGCCACCACAATTACTTTAGCAGGGTATAGGTACTTGGCGTTCAGGGCTTAGCGCTTAGGATGTGGGCCTTGGGGTTTAAGGTTTGGGGGGATAGGTAGCAACACGCAGAGCATAAGAAGGGAGACTCATAGTTGTACCCCAAGCAAACCCCAAACCTTAAGCCATCTTAAGCCCTCCGCCCCTTGGCATGCCATACCGCCCAACCCCCAAAATTCACAGTAATGGAACTATATAACCCTATAATCTCCTTTACAAGAACCCTACTTTGAGGATCATGGGACTTAGCAACTGGGGTTACGAATGTTATAATTAATATAACTGTAGTTTCAACTACTTTAACTCCAATTCAGGTACGTATAACCCACCATGATCCTCCAAGTAAGCCTCAATGTTTGAGGCCCTCATATTCAAGTTCAACCCCTCCTCGAGGAAGTTCTGCACGAAGCCTAGAGTACGCGGAGCCGCCGTGATGTCGCTCGGGGATCTGCGATGCTTTGGGAATAAACGCAGGGAGACTTAAAGTAGGGCCCTTAACAATCAGAATAGGGGTTTTGAGGTCTATGATAGTATCATCATGTGGGGACTATACAGAAACACTATTGAAAATCCTTCCGGCCCCGTATCATGCCCCTGTCGTACGATTATTCCCCAAAACCGCATTACGGATTTCCATGTAATTGGAAGAATTGCAGATAGGCCCTAACTACTGTTGATGGACAAAACCCTGCACGACTTTAAGGACCCCAAACTATGGGAATTATGGTATATTCCTTATATTGGGTCATGCTGGATTTATATCCCTAAACCAAAGCCTAAAAAACCCTATAGATCCCTTAAAGGAGCCCCTTAAGAGGTACCCTTAGTATGGGGTCATGGCAGGATTTTGTCCATCTACAGTAGGGTGTGCTAGGGCCTCTTTGCTCGGCTCAGTCTCGGGCGTGGGGGCGTGGGGGCAGGCTTGCGGGCGGCAATAAATCCTTAACCCTTAGGGTTTAGGGTTTAGGGTTTAGGGTTTAGGGTTTAGGGTTTAGGGTTTAGGGTTAGCCCGGAACCCTTGACCCTATCTAAACCTCAAAACTTACAGAAAGGTACCATTGACCCTAAACCCTAAATCCTGAAGCCCACCTAACCCGAAACCTTAAACCCTTGACCCTAAACCTTGAACCCTTTAACTATAAAGATTTACTGCACCTTATACCCTGAACCCTAAGCCCTCAGCATTGAACCCTATGCCCCTAAACCTTAAACCTTAAACCCTGAACCCTCGGTCTGTGACGTTCCGATGTTACACTGTCGGGTTTCAAGATGAGATTTGCATGTAGGGGCGGAGAGAGTCAAAATTAGGGTCCCTTTTTGGGTACCCTAAATAATAGGTGCTGTATTCTAATAATGAACCAAAAAGGGACCCTTATTTTGACAACCACCCAAGTAGAAGAGGATCATTGCAGTTCGTCGATCATTGTTGTACCAAGGCCGTCGTTCAAAGAGCGCTTCTAAATGATCAGGGGTCATCACTGCACCCGAAACCCTTGCCCTTCCAGATCTCCTATAGAACGGTGTAGGGTTTCGGGTTTAGTGAGTCGTTGTAATACGGTTGCTGATAGAAATCCTGCAGTACCCATAATAAGGACTACACCATAGTTCCCATAGTTTAGGGTTCTTAGAGTAGTGCAGGATTTTTATCATCAACCGTACGAAACGGGTTTCGGCATGTGATTTGCGACTGTGGGATCTTCCGGAACACTGAACCATGAACGCAACATCAGCCCCCAACCCCAAACTTTCCTAGTATGGGAGCCGTGGTAATTAGAAAGAAATTTTGGGCTTTGGGGGTTTAGTATACTTTTGTTATGTTACGGAACCCGAAGCATAGTATTGCGAAATATTCGGGCCCCAAATCCTAGAGCCCAGTGCACCTGCACCCAAGACATTTCAAACATTCAAGCCTGCACACAAACACAAACCCTTGACAAACACTTATAAACCGTTGAAGAAACTGTGTCCAGGCAAAAAGACATCGAACGAAGGAGTACCCTGAACCCTAAACCCTTAAACCCTTAACCCTCAGCCGTACCATGAACCCTAAACCCTAAACCCCTAAACCCTAAACCCCTAAACCCCTAAACCCCTAAACCCCTAAACCCCTAAACCCTAAACCCCTAAACAAACCCCTAAACCCCTAAATCCTGCAACCCTAAGCCGGTTCCAAGCCTAACGAGTTCGAGGTAGCCCTTGGCGCATGTCTTCCGGTCCTCTGACAAAGCAGCGAGGCAGCTTTGGCTTGAGGGCCCTCAGGGGTGGGTTTAGAGCTTCTGTGGTTTAGGAGTTTACGGGTTTACGGTTTAGGGTGTTATAATTTAGGGCTTAGGGTTTGCTGTGAGTGATTTGGGTGAAATGGCGATGTTGTCAAGATTTGCAGGGTATGGTTTCTGCGCTGAGCTTTACATCCTCTGCATGGTGAAGCCTACACTGCGCAGCGCCCAGGTTTGTGGCCGAGCCAGGGATTCCCGGGCCAGGTTCCCTAAACACCACAAACCTAGTGAACGCGGTGTAGAATTTCAGAACCCAAGTAAAAACCTTGTAGAGCTGACTCGAAGGACCCCTGAGCCCTGCAAGTTATCAGGGCTCCTCCAGTGCTAAACCCGAAACCCCAAACCCTAAACCCTAAAAAACCCTGGCAAAGGTCTTGTAGAATCTCAATTTTAAAACATCAAGTGTAAGCCATTAAAGCTCCTAGAATACCCTAATAATGGGACCCCATTGCCGAACCCTACAGTACCTTTAAGGGACCCTTCTGCTACCCTAAACCCTAAACCGTGGGACCCTTTGTTTTGAAGAAAAGAGATATAGTAGAAGCCAGAAAGTTGGAACATCATTCTCCTCATGCCCTTAAGGTAAATTAGCAGGGATCCTAGCACGAATCCTCCTGAAGCCATGTTCCAACTTTCTGGCTTCTACTATATCTCTTTTCTTCAAAACAGAGGGTCCCACGGTTTAGGGTTTAGGGTTTAGGAATAATCCCTTAAAGGTACTGTAGGCTTCGACAATGGGGTCCCACTAAGGGTATTCTAGGAGCTTTAATGGCTGAGGCTTGATGTTTGTTGGAAAATTGGGATTCTACAAGACCTTTGCCAGGGTTTTTTAGGGTTTAGGGTTCGACAATGGGGTCCCATTAAGGGTAAAGACGGCCGCCTCTTCTGCGGCGACTTCCGCCAGGCCAGGCTCGGGTGCCTGCTTTGATGCGGGTTTAAGGGTTTAGGGGTTTAGGGGTTTGTTTAGGGGTTTAGGGTTTAGGGGTTTAGGGGTTTAGGGGTTTAGGGTTTAGGGGTTTAGGGTTTAGGGGTTTAGGGGTTTAGGGGTTTAGGGGTTAGGGGTTTAGGGGTTTAGGGTTTAGGGTTCATTTCACATCCCCCAACCTTTCCTTTAGCTCGTCAAGTATAGTGGGATTATATAAACCCCCAAAAAGTTAACCTTTTGAATTATAGTAGGATTATATCAACCTTAGAAGGTTAACCTCTTGAAAAATAGTAGGATTATATATAAACCCGGAACGCTAAACCCTAAACCCTAAACCTTTACCCCTGAGTCCCAAAGGGTTAAAGGGCACCTACTCAGCCCCAAACCTTTCCTTTGGTAAGGAATGGAAGAATGGTTGTAATAGTAGTGAGAATTGTACCCCATTCCTCTTAACCAAAGGTAAGTTAACCGTACACCTTAAGCCCGAAACAACCCTAAACCAAGGCTTAGGATGTCCCAAAACCGTAAACCGTAAACCCTAGACAACCCAAATCCCGAGGACTTGGGGGTTTACGATCTGTTCAGGTTGAATGCTTAGGGCTTAGAGTTTTGGTGTTAGCAGCTGCTGCAGGAGTTCGAGCAGGATCCGCACAAGACGTTTATAGTGCGATACAGGCTCATTGGGTCTATAGGGGTTCTACCAGGGACATAACAATGCTGCGATACGGATTTATAAGGTTCGTTCTATAGGTACGAGAAGATCTTTAACAATCTTGAACTTCGGCTTTATCCTGAATTCTACATGCACTAAACTCAAAAAATGAAGCTTAAATCCTAAACCCGAAACCACTAAACCCTGAACTGGGGATCCAAGTACGATCTAGGAATCTAGGGTCTGAGGGCTGTGGGATAGCATGTTTTCGGCCTTGAGCTCAGAAGGATGTGCATCTCTATATGAATACAAGTGTACATACAGTATGTATTCGTGCATGTGTGTATATATATAGATAGGATATGCATGTACATGTTCGTTCATGCACATGCACGTGTAAACGTGATGCATATGTATGCTTGTAACTATGTGTATGTAAATATACATAGATTGAGGTTAGGTTTGGGAGGGTCGCGGTGGTGGCTAGGTTTGAGGATGTGGGGCTTAGGGCTTGGAGCCAGGGCCTTCAGACGGGCTTGAAGTTCAAGTTTAGGATGCGGATTTACGTTTCAATTCTGACGGTTTAGGGCTCAGGAACATAAATTCTAAGCTTAAGGATTCGTTCCCAAAACCCGAAACCTTAAACTCCAAACCCCACATTTAAGCCCCGAAGCCTAAGCCCCCAACCCTAAACCCTGAACCCTAAACCTGAACCCCAAACCGCCAACCCCCAATTCATGCCGCGAGGTCATCCGAGCCCTAGCCCTGTCTGTTAACCTTTCGAATTATAGTAGGATTATATAAACCCCCAAAAAAGTTAACCTTTTGAATTATAGTAGGATTATATAAACTCCAAAAAGTTAACCTTTTGAGTGATAGTAGGATTGAATCAACCTTAGAAGGTTAACCTCTTGAAAAATCGCAGGAGTATATATAAACCCTAAACCCTAAACCCTAAACCCTAACCCCAAAATCTCAAAAGGTTGAACGGCACCGACTCCGCCCCTATAGTAGCATGCTATGTGTATATATATATATATACACATATACATATACATATACATATACATATACATGTACATTTACATATACATATACATATACATATACGTATACATATACATATACATATACATACACATACACATACACATATACATACACATACACATACACATACACATACACATATACACATACATATACATATACATATACATATACATATACATATACCTATACATATGCATATACCTTTACATATGCATATACATATACATATACATATACATATACATATACATATACATATACATATACATATACATATACCCTGAACCCTAAACCCTAAACCCTACCTAACCCCAAAGCACCTACTCAGCCCCTGCAAGCGGTGCTTTGTTCCGCGCGCCCCGGCCTCCGGCGCTTCGGCTCCCCGGAAGCTGGCCTCCTGGGCTTCCGCAGCGGGGTTTAGGGGTTCCTTTGAAGGGATCCTTAAGGGGCTCCTTCAAAGGGATCCTTAAAGGGGGTTCTTTAAAGGGATCCTTAAGGGGTTCCTTTAAAGGGATCTAGAAGGGGTTTGGGGTTTAGGGTTTAGGGGTTTAGGGCTTAGGGGTTTAGGGTGTAGGGGTTAGGGGTTTAAGGCTAAGAGTGAAAGGTTTAGGGCTTAGGGCTTGGGGACAAAGAAGGGCTCTAAAAATCCCCAAACCTTAAATCATCTCTGTCAATCCCCAGCGAGCCGTGACAAATCCCATCAGCATCCAAAGAAAAGCCTGTAACTTCTGTAACACTTTATCAAGAAAAAGGCACAAACAACAAAATTACAAAAGGTTTACAACAAAGGGAAACGAGCGTGTACACGACTGGAAAGCCCGTATAAATTGCATGAAGCACTGCAAGACCTCAGATAGATCCTCTCACGAAACCTTCAAAACTTGTCTAAACCCTTTGAAGAAAAGAAAGCCCGCATAAACCCTAAAAACCTAGACCTCTGAGGGAATGAGGGGCTAGATGTCTGACTGAAGGCTCAGAGTTTGGGGTGTATGGTTCACAGTTCAGGGCGAGTGTTTGCAATGTATAGTTTAGGGTTCTGGGCTTCTGGTTGCTCTAGTCTCTTGGTCTTAAGTCGTAGTATGAGGGCACACAAGGCAAGACCACTTCAATGACTCAAGGGCTAAATACATAAACGACGGAAAAATCAACTAAAATCCCGAGCACTCGGTCAGCATCTGCACACAGACGAAGGTTGAGCCCCTAAAACGTGTCCATTGTAAAGGGGTCGGGAATCTGGATGCGGTTGAGCCATCCTGGACGTCTTCTGATTCGGTGCTTCTTGCTGTAGCTTGCGCCCGCTCAAATGACACTTGGAGCAGAACCTGACGGTCTGCACATGCTTTCTCAAGCATCGGCACTGCTCAAGGTTAACATTCTTGATGCTGAGCACGTGGCAATTTTTTTCAATCAATGTCCAGCTTTGTGCATTTGCAATAGCCACACCGAATGCTCGGGCTCTTCCTTTCAGGATCACCTCCAGCTCCACCACAGTCATCTTGCTTCGACTGCGGCTATGTCCCGCCACCCGTTGCGATCATTTCGGACAGAGTGTTTAGGGTTGCACGGCTCACTGCCAGACATCCATTCAACCGTGCCACGTCCCCAAGGTCACAGGTTTAGGCGCTAGGGCTTGTCACTGAATCCGAAACCTCCTACATTGGGCTTTCTTACAAGGTGTAGTACAATTTCAAACCCAACGTAAGCGAAACCACCAACTTCAGAACCTCCCACCCTCAAAGTGATAGTCCCCCGAATCGGGAAACCCGAAACCTGCTAGAGCTTTCTCGTGCCTCTTGGCGTCCCTGTTAAAGACCCATCGGGCACAGAACCCTGAAACCCTGAGCTCTCGGGCCCTAAATCCCTTCTGAAGAAATATAGAGGTCTATAGAATTCATCGAATCATATAAAAGCATAGTCAACAAGTTGTCAAAATGCAAGCCAACACCAAGATATGGGTGTAGAGACACCAAGATATTTGCTTCAAAGTATATGTCTTTGGGCAGTATTTTGTCTTACCTACCTGTCTAGTGCTTATTCATGTATGTAGGAAGACGTTGAAATAGGACCGCCCAAACCCCTAAACCCAAAAACCTAAACCCCTGAAGCCCCTAAACCCGTAAAGCACCAGACCCCGAAACCCCTAAAAACCCTAAAACCCTAAACCATTAAACCCCTAAACCCCTTCTAGATTCCTTTAAGGAACTCCTTAACGACCCCTTAAGGATGCCTTTAAGGAGCCCTGAAACCCTAAAACCCTGAACCTGCCCGGCCTTCAGTCGGCGGCTCAAGGCCTCCACCTGGCGCTGAAGGGAAAAGCGATGAAACACGGCTTTCGGGGGCGCCGAAAAGCCCCTTTTAAGGGATCCTTTAAAGGGATCCTTTAAAGGGATCCTTTCAAGGGATCCCTTTAAGGGATCCTTGAAGGGTATCCTTTAAGGGTTCTTTGGGGCTTTCAGGGGCCCGTTCCGGGGTGGCCCTTCTAGGGATCCTAGGGGCCCTTCCACAGGGGAATAGGGTTTAGGGTTTGTGTGGCCCTTTCAGGGATCCTAGGACCCTTTAAAAGGGACAGCAGGGATCCTAAGGGCTCCGCAAGGGATCCTGATCCCTGCAGCGGACCGCATCTGCGTCAGCGTCCCCACAGAACGGGAGGCCAGGGGCGGCTTGTACTTCGCAACATGTCTCCGGCACATGGGTAGTTGTCAAAAATAGGGTCCCTTTTGGGGTCCTTAATATAATACGACACCTATTATTTATCATTATTTATGGTACCCAAAAAGGGACCCTAGTTCTGACCTTCTCCCAAACCAGCTGTCTAGCACGTGCCCAAGGCCCGGCCCTGCCGCAACATCGCCAAGGCCGAAAAGAGCTGCACGCTCAGCTCGCTCGGTGCTGTTCATGGGTCCGGTTGAACCAAGGTGGGTCACTGTAGCGGACCTTCTCGATAGGGTTTTTTTTAAACACACAGGGCGTGTTGGCCTCAGGAAGCTCCAGTCCTCGAAGGTTGCCGGATCCCCCGAGAACTTCTCAATAATTAGCTATACTATTTTGGGGAGTTCCTCTTTATCACGTTAGTATAATGTGCCCCAAACCCTATTCTAATTACTAAGGTCTCGAATTTAAAACCCTACTACAGACCCCTACTTTAGTGGGCCCCAAAACCCTATTTTAATTGTACTAAGGTCGGGCACAAGCCGCTCCCATCCCCACAAGCAGTTTACGGAAGGGCTCCTGAGGGATCTATATAAGGTTTCCACAAAGGTCTGTTTACAAGGACTTCCCCTTTAGGGATCAAACAAGGCTTCTAGAGGGCTCTAGGGACTTCGGATTTTATGTGCGGCTTTCCTATGAATGTTCTGTATATAAGCTGTCTACAAGGAGAAGGGTTCGAAAGGGGGTCGTGAGGGCTCTACAATAGTTTAGGGGTTTGTATCTTCAGAGCCTCAGGGATTCTTTGAGCTTCTATCGGCTGTTACAAGAATCCTTGGGGCTACAAAAAACTACCCCATACCGGAAAACCAACACACCCGACACCCTAAACCCCAAACCCTGAACCCGACAAACCCTAAAAACCCTTAAAACCCCAAAAGCCCCAAACACCCTCAAAACCTAACAACCCTAAAACCCCGTCGCCTGTGCCAGGGCATCCTCGGGCTTCTCTTGCGCGAGAGTGCGCGCCAGCTTCACCTGACAGGGTTTAGGCTTTCGGGGTTTCGGGTTTAGGGCTTAGGCCTTTTGGAGTTTAGGGTTTAGGTTTTAGGGCTTAGGGTTTAGGGTTTAAGCTTTAGGGGTTAAGGTTCAGGACTTCTTAGAGTGCTTAATCTAAGGTTTTAGGATTTCGGCGCTTTACGGGTATTTTAGGGTTCAAGGCTTAAGGTTTTCGGGCTCAGGGGAGGGCATCTGGTGGCTTAAGGGTTTGGCAGCTCTTAGAGGTGAAGAGTTTAGGTTTTAGGGTTTAAGGCTATTAAAGGGGAAGAGTTTTAGGGTTTTGAAGGCTTCGGTAGAATGGTTTTTGGGGTTTCGGCTTTCTGCGACACCACTGAGAGGCGACGCGAAACCCCGTGCCCGCGGCGAGGGCACCTGTGCCTAAGATTCGCCAAGATCCTGCCCAAATCACTGCGAAACGGCACACGATTCCCGTCCCCGTTGAGAAGGTTGTCACTCACGGACCGAAGTAGTGCTCGAACCGGCATAATGCAAGACGACACATCTTGGAAGACAACCATGAACTGTATATCCTCCGGCGCTCGCTCTTCCAGTGAGCACAAAACTGACAATGTGAATGCTTCTACATACTTTAACACCACGGATCATCCAGGACATCACATCTCTGCAATGGAACAAGCAGAGCAGTCCACGGAAAAGCCGTGTGGGAGCCATGGTCACGAACATCATAACACCAGAAGTCCGAAACCTCCAAGCCCTCTTGCCTTTCATGCTTTGAACCCGAGAAGTCAGAGCCGATACCCCAAAAGGATTTGGGTTTAGGGGCTACATAAGGGTTTAGGATTTGGGAAATGGAGTTCTGGCTTTGGGATTTAGGGTTTGAGGGTTTAGGGTAGTCTTCATAGTTTTCCTAGACCACCCTACAGAGCCCCAGTGAAAACTTCGAGAGGTGACCTGCTTGCTAAGGTCGCTTGATCATCTAACCTCTTGAACTAACGCAAAACCCTGAGGCCGAAGCCCTGACAAAAGAAAACTCTTAAGCCCTAAACCTGAAAACTCTAAACCTTCAGAGACCTACTACAGTAGAAAAACACCGCAAACCCTAAACCCTACAAACCCTCGAAACCCGGAACCCTAGAAATCCTTAACCCTAGAAACCCTAAACCCTACAAACCAGAGAAACCCTGAACCCTAGAAATCCTTGACCCTAGGAACCCCCAAGCTTCCAAAAACGGCTCCATTCGAGGGGCTATGTGGTTGTACAGGGATCCGGAGCCCGCATCGATCTTCAAGAGTGCGTGCACCCCTGGGCCATTGGGTGGCTTTGTGTTCAGGGGCTTAGGGTTCCTTAAAGGGATCTATAGGGGTTCCTTTAAAGGGATCCCTCTAGGGTTTAGGGGTTTAGGGGTTTAGGGTTTTAGGGATTCAGGGCGTTTCGAGCCTTGGGGTTTAGGGGGTTTGGGGTTCTTGGTTTGGGGGCTTTGGGCTCAAAGTTTGAGGTTTGGGATGTTCATGCAGCTGATGAGCTTGAATGTGTAGCGGCCTGCTTCTATAAGTATACATATATATGTACATATATATATGTGTATATATCTACACATATATACATAGATATATATATATATATACATATATATATATATATATATACGTACATATATATATATATATATATATATATATATATGAATGATACAACCGTTCGCACTCCGATGACGGGGTGGCGTTTTGGAGCTCTGGGTCAAAAGGTTGGAAGATCGGTGGTCCTTCTTTGGCTAAGAAAGGGTTAGGGTTTAGGGCTTAGGGTTACAGTTATTGTCAGGGTTCAGGGTTCTTTCGGGCTTGTTAAGAAAAGGGTTGCAGGACTATAATTCTTACAAGGGTAGCACGATAGTAATTACTAGTTGGAGGTTCGTGGGTAGTTGTAAGTAGGGTTATAAGTAAGGTAACTATAGTTATAACGAGCCTGAACACTCAAAAAGCGAAACTGGTACAGTGATGAGGCCAAACCGAATTTGCAGCCGCGAGGTTGGCATGCATACAGCCGATGCTGCTGGTCCAGCGGCATGCTCTGCAACTCGGCATTTTTGACCGCGACCACAATTTCCACCATTTCGGGATGGCTGTTCTCCGAAATTGGCGACAGGCCGCCGTCTTTGCGCCCGTCCTCATCCTCGTCGGGGGGTGTAAAAATGCTGACCCTGCTTTTCCTTGAGGCATGTCCGTCATCGCCATGGGAGAAAGACTACATATTCACGCGCGAGAAAGATTACACTCTCACACTTGGCACGCATCAGCGTTCCGAGGTACGCATGCCACTTTCGGCGTCGCTTCTCGGCTGAAGGCTACAAAGATCGAATGAAGATGATTATAGTTATAACCCGTGTTAGGGGACTTATAACCCCACCTTGTAACTCCAAGTAGGGTGCCACGGTTTAGGATTTGGTCGTTATCATGAGGGCTCTAGGGTGTAGGATTTAAGAACCACTTTGTGTCGGGGTTTGCATGTTACAATGTCGTAGCGGCTCAATTCATAAGCCCCAAAAAAGTGTACACTTTCAGTTTTATAGTGGGTAATCTTATCTCAAAAAGTGTCAAATGTATCCACTCAGCTACTCAGATGTTTTCAAGCCTACCCCAAAACCACCAGCCCCCAGAACTACAACCTAAATCCCTGATCCTAAAGCCTAAACCCCACTCACGAATCCAAGGGTAAAAGGAGGGACCCTTAATTTGGACCCCTAGGTATATACCCTTAATATAGCTATTATAATACACCCGTTATATAGCCCATTATGGGGTAGGGGTCCGCATTAAGGGTCCCTCCTTGTCCCCTTTGAACGAAGCCCTCTATCCAAACCCTAAACCCTAACTCTTACCTTAAGTTCAATATTCCCTATACGGCCTTGAGCTTACAAGGACTGTACTTTCAGTTATGAATGGATCCTTATAATTACCCTTAATCTAAATGCGAAACGCCCGAAGCCCTGAATCCTGGCCTCTGTGGCGTTGCAGGAGTCTCTGGGTTCAAAACGGAACACCGAAGCAAGCCCCGGAAAAGCCCGCAAGCGCCCTCAAATGGGATAGTTCGAGTTCTAATCCATCGCAACCCGACGGAATAATAGTAGTTTGTCAGTCTTGAGGCTTCTATATTAGGACCCTTCACCGTTCCGGGACTTATCGGAGTGTCTAGGGTGATTTGGAATTTTGAGTGTCTTCGCCCCCTATAGAACTTATATGCAACGTAGTGAATACCCGTAGCCTATAGACTATCTTGTAATTTATTTTCTCTAATACCCTAAACCCTAAACCGTGTCTTCGCCGGAGCCTCTAGTTCACGGAAGCTACTTGAACCCTAGTGGGACCTCAACAAGTCGGAAGACCGTATGTTTTGAGACAACTAATTAACTAAGAACCCTAGATTAATATTATGAAGTACGCCCGGAAGGTCCTAAAGCACCACAGCTTACTGCGTGTTGAAGTCGTACAGGCCCTGAAACATACTTGCAGCTTCACGGACAGCGAAATAAGCGAGAGTTTAGAGTTTGGGCTTTTTGTTTGGGGGGTTTAGGGCTTAGAGTTTCGGGGGTTTAGGGCTTGGGTTTACGCTTCGGGGGGTTTAGGGTTTCGGCGGGGGTTTAGGGTTTAGCGCGGCCATAGCTAGCACACATTTTTGCTTATGCGTAACTAGCTATAGCGGCAGGCGCGTGTCGACCGACTTACCGCTACCCGCTACCCATGACCCCTACACCCCTGAGAACACCTCATAAAGAAGGTCAAGAAACCTTATTGTCCAAGCCGGCCCAAAATCCTGAAACCGCAACCTTTGACTTTCAAGTCGAGTACTACAGCCCAGCAACGCTCAAGGGCGATGTCGCACGTCGCCATCCTCAGTCAGAACCATAAACTGGCTAGCATGATGAGGGAGACCCCTTAAAGGGTACCCCTTCTGAACCCTACTTCTGGCCCTCTTAGAAGGGACCTTATTGAGAGGGTCTATATCCCCGAGGGTCCTCGTAATCCTAACTCCCATAAACGTGGATCCTCTACCAAACTCGCCTGCTGGAGGATCGAAGAAGGGAGCCGCTTGAAGTTTGGTTTAGGGTTTAGGGTTTAGGGTTGGCAAAAGCTCTATCTCAGGTAGCACATTCGAAGGATAATGTTTACTGTATGGATCATCCATCTTCCACAAGGCGATAAGCCTTGATAAGGTGGCCTTGTGTGGGGGAACCCACACGATAACAAGAAGAGGAAGAACTAACAGCGTGTAAAGTCCTATCAACAACAGCAGAAATCCGTATGAAATCCTACGCCACCACTCCAGGTTTCAGGGATACTTTAGGGTTTCGGGTTTAGGGAGTGCAGGGTCTGCAAAGTTCCGAGGGGTTCTTATTTGCGGTATGCCAGGGGTTTCCAAGGCCTGCCATCGTTCACATCCCTGGAACCAGTTTCAGGCTGTTGGGGATGTGGGCGCAGTGTAAAGCCGCTGAAGAGCACCCATGGCTTTGTCGGAACTCCCGAAAGACCCCTAAACCCAAAGCCCCATGCCCTAAACCCCATAGCCCCAAACCCTGACCTCGAAACCATAAACAGGGCCGACGAGACGCTTCCGTACCGTGAATGGCACGGAAACCACGTGAGGCGAACAGCTCGAGCCGGAGATGTGTCGGAAGCAATCTCTGTGTTTATTCGGTTTGGGGTTTGGGATGTAGGGATTAGGGTTTGGGGTTTGGGGTTTATGGTTTTGGGATTAGAGGTTGTTTGCATAAACGTTGTATGGTTGCGGCTGTATGGAGCATCTCTGTGTGCGTCCATGCACATGGCATGGAATTGTCGTAATGTTGTACAGACAGATATTCATCTATGACGATGCGTTATACCTTGTTCAAAAGTACTGTACCGATGCAACTGCTGCAAGAGGACTAAGAATCATAGCAACACCGATAATCATACTGTGGTTCTCCAATGGGCAGTTTGCAGCGTGCCGAGATCCTGTACCGCAGTACCTCGTTTTCAATGGAGGGGATGGTATCAGTGGTATGCTATTCTATGGTAAGTAACCCCGCATAAGGAGCTAAGGTAGCCAACAAAAAGCACTGCGATTCAGAGTCTAGCTATATCGTTTGTGAAAGTGTTCTATGGGCCCATGGACGGCTACTGGGAGTTCTTCGGCAAACCGGCAGCAAGGGCTAGGTTCAGAAATTATTTGCAAGTTTCGAAATGGACATGTAGTAACCAAGATCTGTATACCATTCATACGGTACCAGTGCTTCGTGGTTGCTACACTGCAACCATGCTTGAGAGCTCTCAGGAAGAGTCAGCAGTCTGCGCCGGACCCCTTTGTCAGCCAGCCCCCGTGACGCAGAGCACCGAAAACTACATTATCAAAGCAGTTCAGGGACAAGGGTTTAGGATTTAGGACGTAGGGCTTCCTACGCACAGGGAGACAAGCGCAGACTAGCATCGAAAACAGCGGCATGGGCCATCCCCCCACAGTGCAGAATGTCGGCGTTCCTTTTCAACTTAAGACTTAAGAAGGAACCCCTAAACCCTAAACCCTAAACCGATTGTAACAAACCGAACCTGGATCCTAGTGACGAGCCAGTCTCGGGCTCCATGGATCAGGCCGTGCATAAGGCCGAGGCTGGAGCAACTCGCTCCGGGTTTGGTGTGTTGTGGGCTATATCTGCCTAGCTTCTCGCATAGCTCTACTGGGATCCTAAAGGACGGAGAACCCTAGATCTGCGATGTTTTGCAGACGGCGGGTTCTCTGAATTAGGATACCTTTGTGGGGTCACCGAAGTTTTCTTTGGAGTACCTGGTTACGGCTCAATAGAGTGAGTCACTCTTGTGGATATCAGGGCCCGGATCCACCCAGACCATTAACCCTAGACCGTGCAGCCCACAGACGCCTGCCTTGAGCACCCGTGCACCAGCATCATCCTCCGCCTCAATGCAGGGCTTAAGACCCAGTCTCTGCCTAACCCTAAGCCCTTAACCCCAAGCCGAAGTTTGGGCAAGTTTTTGAGCAGGTGTTCCCGAACCCTATGCCCAAGCCCAGATGTAAGCAAGATAGTGGTATAAACTACTAAACCAGGAAAATCCCTCAACGCTAAACCCTTAACCCTAGTACATATATTCACTCATTCACTCTTTTTCTCACTTAGGGGGCCAAATAATTAGAACAGGGTTTACATATGGGAGTTTCTGAAACTTAGGGGTACCTTATTTGGGGGTCCTTATAATAGGAATCCTACTATTTAGGGTACTATATTAGGGTCCCCTGTTTTCGGAAACCCCCATATCTTTTGCCGTATAACCATCATAACAAGGAGCCCTACGGAGCGATGTTGGTATTGAGTTATGCTTCCGAAAACCCTAAGTTTAGGGTTTAGGGTTTAGGGTTGACTGTACAGTAGAAGCCAGAAAGTGGTTTAGGGTTTAGGGTTGACTGTACAGTAGAAGCCAGAAAGTTGGAATATCATTATCGTACCCCCTTTAAGGTAAATTATAGGGGATCCTACCATGAAACCATATTCCAACTTTCTGGAGTTCCCTTTAAGCCTGAAACTCCATGTGATCTGGGGAGACGGTTCTCCCAATTAACATCCGTATAATGACCCAGGAGGGGTGAGGATATCCCCATGAAATGCTTATGCTTATGTCTCCTTGTGGGTCCCTAAGGCTCAAGATTGGACTTCTTGCTGTAGATTCCGTAGCGTAGCGAAGGTCGATTTCCTCGATCACCGGCCTGCTGCAACCCTTTGGGCCTTTTCCGTTGAAGGTTAAGGGGTTTAGGGTTTTGGGTGTTAGGGCTTAAGGGTGCTAGGGTTTAGGGTTTGGGGTTAGGGTTTGGGGTTAGGGTTTGGGGATTAGGGTTTAGGGTTGACAGGAGGGTTGACAGAAACCTTATCCAAAGCCTGCTGCTTAGACCCCCAAACCCAGAGAAATCGATCCTCAAAGCCGGAACCCTACACTCCAAACACCCAAACCTTCCTGCAACTTTCCAGCTATCAGGGCTTTTCACGGCTTAGGGTCTGGTTCGGGGCGCAAATTTTGATACCCTGCCGGGGCTTTACAGAAGGCGTTTGGAGTGCGATATTGAGGTTTGTGGAGTTTGACATCGCTTATTGCCCACACTGCCCAAAATCCTGGCACACATCAGGGGTGCGTCTGTGAGAAAGCCAACCACGCGAGGGGGAAGCGAGAAACACAATGTCCAAACCTTCACCGTGTAGGCATTTAGGCTCTTGAGAGCCTTGTGGGGTTTGGGCTTCTCCTAAACCCTAAACCCTAAACCCCTAAACCCTAAACCCTAAGCCCTAAACCCTAAGTTTCAACCTCAGGGTTCGAGAATCCTAGAGACCGGGAACCCCGCACCCGAAACCTTCGACCCAAGGCCCGGGACCCCACGGGTTTAGGGTTTAGGGGACCCTGAGCCGAGATTCGGAACCCAGACCCGGAGGCTTGAAATCATTAGGGTTTAGGGTTTAGGGTTTAGGGTTTAGGGTTACCTTAAGACTTGAGCCAGAACCTCTGAACTCTGAAAAGCTTCTAATCCGAAATCCTGACACCGAAGCAGTACAGAATTGAATACTTCTCAAAGAAACCTTGGAGCTATCTCCGTTGTATCGTTGCACCCCACCAAGGCAACAAAAGAAGAGCTCGACCTCGAGGAGCAGCGGCACGCCCACAAGCAACTCCGAACCAATGCCAGCGAGGGGCACCTCGTACCCTGAACCCTAAACCCCGAAACCCCGAAACCCCTAAACTCTAAATTGCTGGACCCCAAATCATACGCTTAGGACTTTGAGTATGGCCGGTGCGGTTCGCATGTCGGCTCTGGTGTTCAGGATTTACGGCTTTGGGGTGCAGATACTTACCTTTGGTTAGTGGGGAATGGAGGAATGGTAGTAATAGCAGTAAAAATTGTACCCCCAGTCCTCCATTCCCTACTAACCCAAGGTAAGGATATTGAAGATTGTGGGGTTCGGTCTTCTTCGCTGTGCTTTAGGCATTTGTTGGTGCTTGAACTCCTTTTTCCCAGAGGCTGCAAGCTGCGACTTCTAGAAAAGTTTAAGGATCAGGGTTTGCGGGTTTCCGGATCAGGTTCTGCAATGATGCATGGCCGTTCCATACGTTTTCCACTAAGCTGTTGGTTACTAGGCTTTGTTAGCCGTTTTACCAGGGTGCACTTGCCTCAAGAAAACTAGCCGGATCCAATACGGGGGCCTGAATAATTAGAATAGGGTTTTAAGGCCCATCATACTATATTTATAACAAGGGAACCCCAAAGGATTATCATAGCACTTGCTGATCATCATGTTTACGTGCATAGCCAGTGTACGAGTCAAGGAACGCCCGCTGGTGAAGAGGATTGTGGTTTGAGTATGAGGGCTGTTGGATCCCGGATTGCTTTTGAGGCAGAGGGTTCGGGGTTCGAGGTCTCGGGCTTTGGGTCTGGTGTTACGGGATTGCGCCAAGACCTGTCGGATATCCAATATACACATAATGCAGGGGTCTCAATAATAGTGAACCCCGAACCCCCAAGCCTGAACCCTACACCCCAAACCCTAAACCCAAAACCACGAAAGATGTTTACGGAAGTACCCCCTGGTCTTCCTCAAGGCCCGACCTCTGCGAGGATCTCGACGGAGGCCCAGCTTCCTTTTAAGAGGGCGTCGGGGGTTGGGTTTATATTAGGTTTAGGAATTTAGGGTCTAAGGTTGTGCGTTTAGGGTTGAAGGTGTCTCCTTTGTGGTACTCTTCTTTTGCCGTAAGGGTTGAGGGTAGCACCGTTGGGCGGCGGGCTTAGGATGTAGTTGTTTAGGGACAGGATTGGGGGGGCTCGTTAATTGGGTGAGGGGCTTAGGGCTTCAGTCAGTACGG